TACAAACAAGGAAGATGGAGAAGACCATCAGTGCAATGACACAGCTTTGCTTGACCCCAGCATGATGGGTCTGTGGTTGAGGATTGCAGCTTGCATGTTGTTGAGCAGCAGGCAGACAATAGTGCCAAATTTCTGTAGTCAACCAAATTTAAAGACCTCTCCTGGTTGACTGATTCAAAGGCTATTATGGGCTTAAAGGCAGCCTTGAATAAAACACAATGCTACTCTCTAATTTTCTTGCACTTGTCTTGCTGTGAAAATCATGTCCATCAAGAGGCAGAGTAGACAAGATGTGCATGGTGACTTCAGTAAGAGCTCTTCAGCAAATGGGAGGAAGAGATCAATGAGACTTCTTGCAATGACCTTCCCTGGGAGAGACACAGAACATAGAACAGTGAAGCACAGGAACAGGCCCTTAGGCCCACCATGTCTGCATCAATCATAATGTCATTCTAAACTAATCCCATTTACCTATACATGGTCTGCATCCCTCTATTCCCTGCCCGTTCATGTGTCAGACAGCAAGACTACCTATCTGTAGTTACTACAAATCTGTCTCATCTCCTTGCTCGAAGATATTCAAAGTTATGGCATCTCAGAGATCTGTTGTCATGCTCTCCTTGTTCCAGATGAAGGAAATGAGGTGACATATTTGCACCAAGGGTGCTTCTCCATTACTTTTCTGGGTTTCAGTGGAAATTCTGAGTGCACTGGTGGCCTTGTTCCTAACTCTTTTGAACTTCATATTAGGCTGAGATTGTGTTGAGGTGGAAGCAGTTGGAATGCTGTGGGAGGAGGTCAAAGGTATTCATGTCAAGAACTAAGTCTTGATTGAAGAGATCCTCAAAATACTCCTTCTAATGAGCACCAACTGTCCTCTCTGTCCACCACTCAGTTCTAAGCTCTCACACTGGGGCATGTGCTTGGGTCATAGATGGTCTTGACTGTGCTGAAGAATCCATGATTTCATGGCTATCAGTGAGTTCCTCCATTTCTAGGATGCTCATTCCATTAACAACTAGCCTACACCTTTTAAAAGGGAACTGCTTTATGGCTGGAGCAGGAACAAGCCATTTCACAATGGCTCCAATCTGAGAAGCAGTGAAATGGCACATTCGAGAGAAGAGTGTCAAACTTTTCTGACGCTGCAACGGAGGGTTAGATCACAGAAGATCATAGAATCCCTGCAGTGTGGAAACAGGCCCTTCAGCCCAACAAGTCCACACTGACCCTCAGAACATCCCACCGAGACCCATCCCCTTTAACCTAAAATGACATATCCAACCAACGGCACCATTAACTTCAGGCTCTGCTTAAATTTATACTGCCCCATCACTCACCTACAAAATTGCCAATCAGGACTTGAATTTAACAACCATACACTTTCACCTCAACTTCACACACAAAAAGTGTTGCAAGCCTCACACTCATCTCAACTTTTACACACTGTCAAGTATTCAACTTGGGCGTCCACTTCAAATAGATTGCACAACTCTGCAACATAATTCTCTCTGCTATATTGTCTTGTGGGACAATGGACACACAACTGGAGGTGGCAGAAACTACCCAAAGAAAGACAGGTTCACTTGTACACCTATTGAGGAGTCAGTGCTAGCCATTATTTAGAAAATTACTGATGGGTTTGTGGCTGGCAGTGGGACAAAAAAGCTCCACTAACTTCTCACATCCTACTTTCCCCATCTCTACAGATGATGTTAGCAAAACCTCTTATATATTCCCCTCCCTACACCACAATTTCACCCTTGAGCTAATTTCCTTTCTAACTTTTAGGAATTGTGCCCCAGTCAGGCAGTACCTGAACACCAATACCAACAGCTCTAATGCTGACCCTGGATGTCAGAGTTATGTGGTGGGAGTCCAGGGTAAAGTTACACAAAGTACACGTTACCATGAAAGTTTAGATTGCTTATATCATGACTGTGAATTAAAGTGTGACAAGTGATTTGCGAACTGGTACTGGCACTCGGTAATCTGTCCTCCAATAAGCACTGTCTAGGGAAGTGGCAGTGGCTCCACAGAGCAAAAGTTGATGTCTTTTCATAGGAAGACAGCATTTCACCTTCTTGCCAGTCCACAACGCCCTTGCTGTTGTGTGCCAGCCAGCCATCCATCCTAGGCTGAGATGGTGCAGTCTACCATCATGTCTTCTAGGCAAAGAGATGCTAATTTGCATTCTCTCAGCCCATTGGCAATCGCTGTCTTCCATCAACCATGCTCCAATCTCTCGGTATCACAAAGATAAGCAGTAAAAGGACTGTACAAAGATATTTAGAGTCAAATTTTGTAAGAAATATAGCATGAGTTCATTTATAAGTTTGATTAAAAAAAATTACTTGCGGTGGCTTTTGTTTTCACTCATCTGGATTGTCAGGCTAGTGAAAGCATTCCTATCCCAGTGGTATGCTCTGTCATATTTCATGTGACAGCAAGGCCTTCACAGCTGTGTGCAGGTTGCAAACAAGAGCCAGTTATGACGGTACAATGGCTTTAAGAGGTATATTTTGTCCTGGTACTTCTTTTACGAAGAGAAGTTGGGACATAGGTGATAAGCAGTCGGTTCCAAGCCAATAAGCCAATAACCAGTTTGTGAGGCCTTGAGTTCTTTTTTTAAGAAAAACAAAATGGAACAATAGAAGCAGCATGAATGGATGGAATCCCTAATTCTGACCTGGAGGGAAGGTCACTGATGAAGAAGTTGAAGATGGTTAGGTCAAGGTCAGTAACCCTGAGGAACTCCTGCAGAAATGTCCTGGAGCTGAGATGATTGAACTCTAACTACCACAACCATCTTCCTTGTGCCAAATATAACTCCAACTAGCAGGGAGCTCACCCTCCCTGATTCCCACTGGTTCTAGTTTTGCTAGAGTTTCTTGATGCCATACTCCGTCAAATACAGTTTTGAGGTGAAGGGCAGTCACTCTCACCTCACTTAATACTCTTATCAATGCACTGGTTGGTGCTATTTGCCCCATTAGTATGCATCATGGGACATAGGAAATAAGTGTTGGCTGTGCCAGTGATGCCTATCATTGATTTCCCAAAGGGCAGGTCAGTTAATGGTGGGACTGTAGTCACATTAGTGAACTATTTAGGTTTTTGCAGTGGTTATGATGTAGTCATTAGCCTAACATTTTATTCCATACTTTCTTTTTACAAAATTGAATTCAGATTTCACCATCTTCAATGGTGAGAATCGAACTCATGTCCTCAGAGCATAAGTCAAGGATCACTCAACCACTGACATTAACATGATGCCACTACCTCTGTTCTCATATGCCACATATACCATTTGAGAACATGTAGGGTACATTTAGCATCAAAAATATGCACAAGCAAGTTCAGTGTCTCACTCTCAAAGTATTGAAACAGCCATATTCTATTTATTTCCTATTTCAACTCAACAGGCAAGGCTCCAGCAACACCTTCTCAAAAGGGAGGAATCTTTAAAGTTGTAATAGCTTGAATAGCAAGCTAAATCAATGTTAGCCCCAATACTAATGCTTATGAAATAGGATCTTTCTTCACTAGCTGTAAAAAAAAGAATCTGTTCAGAAAATGACTCTGCTATTTTGCACCACACAGCTGAGCTTGAGGCAAGTTTTTACAATGCAACAGAAACCTGCCTTGGTTTCGAATTGTAAGAATTACCTGATTATTTATTCAAATTTATAAATTCAACTGTATTATTAAAACAGAATTCACATAACAGTTGCAGGGTGAATAAGAACTGGTTTCAGTTGATAGAGAATTTGCAATATCAATCCATGGTCAGGATCTAGCATGACTCTTGAATGAAACAAAGAGAGACGCTTAACTACAGGAATCAATCACCATTTGGCTCCAGAGTAAAACCAGACACTAAATATGAAAATGGAAACCCAATTTTAGCAGAATCAAACATCCGGATTTCTGATCACATCGTACCTTTAAAGCTCCTTCGCTTCCCTCGATCAATATCTAAAAATGCCCTAACACCATTTGGAGGTTCTACCACAACAGGCACTGCATTGATTAGAAATAGGATCATCACCTTTATCACAGCACACTTAACATGGATATACCTTGCAGGAGGAGAATGATTCTTGATGGGAAGCAGTAGTGTCCCTTCATCTGAGCCAGATGGCCCAGGTACAAGTTCCACATACTCCAGATATGTGTAATAACATCTCTGATCAGGTTGATTACAAAATATCTACCTTGAACAAGAACTATGCAAAAATGGCACGTGCGATTTAAACATGAGGATGGCGTGTGCATAGGACTGGATGCTTGTTCAGGAGAGTCAAGATTGTTGCAACAATTTTAGGAGAAACCAAAAATTGTGATGGAGTTTGTTGGGAGATTAGGTTGAGTGCAGTATTTTTTCCGCACCATGCTACGAACAACAAAATTGTAAAACCAGGCCTACAAAATGAAGTTAAAATATATATGAAGTCTTTTGAAGAAATAGCAAGCAAATTGATGTAGTTCCTTGAACCGCACAGTATCAAAATAATTCTGCAAGTTACCCAGTAAATGTTAACCATTCTGGAAAGACTACAGAATAAAAATGAAGTTTGTCAGGCCATAGGGAAGGCGATGGCCTACTGGTATTAATCGCTGGACTGTTAATCCAGAGACCCAGATAATGTTCGAATCCTGCCACGGCAGATGGTGGAATTTGAATTTAATAAATATCTGGAATCAAGAATCTAATGATGACCATGAATCCATTGTTGATTGTCAGGAAAAACCAATCTGGCTCACTAATGTCCTTTAGGGAAGGAAGCTGCCATCCTTACCTGGTATGGCCCACGTACATCTCCAGACCCACAGCAATATGGTTGACTCTTAACTGCCCTCTGGACAATTAGGGATGGGCAATAAATGCTGTCTAGCCCTCATCCCGTGAATGAATAAAGAGGAAAAAAAATAAAACTGCTCTGTCACAATTTCTCGTCAGGGAGGGGATACATATCATTTCAACAGGGATAACTTACTGTTCCTGATATTGTTCCAATTGATGTTTGTAAAAAATGGATGGCAGATGAGTCCTTCATAGTTCAAACGTTCCTTTGCCCCACACAGCAGACTTTGCAATAGGTCATAAAATTCCTCACTAGTTTTAGGCTCTTCTGGAAATTTCAGAGTTCTCTGCAATAAAAGATCAGTATGAATGTAGGAGTATATAATCAAATTCTATTAGCAGTAAAACATTACAAAGTAAGTGAAAGAACCAATACCCTAATCAACAAAGATTGCACATAAAAAGGAACCCGAGCTACTATACTTCTCTTTAGTCACACAGATTACACGAAGTAGTCACACAAAGAATTTCAACACACTAAAGTGCTTGATAATACCAAGGTATGCTGTTTTCAAATTTCAATCAACTCCTTAACCATTCACAAAATTTACATTAAACTCCTACAATTGCAAGTTTATCCAATTGTATTTTGGAATGAATTTTACCAAATCACATTGAAGTTGACATAAGATCATGTTTAATGATCTTCCCAGGCCTCTTGGGTTATCAAAGTGATTTGTTAAGCAGAAGTTTTCCTATCTGAAACCATGATAATTATGTTTGATAGCTTATTACTGTACACAATTTTCAGGTTACAAATGATAATCAGTTCCATTATTTTCACAGAAAATTAATGCAAGGTTAATTGGGATAGGTAGTGCCCATTTTTCAGCCTCAAACAGCCTCTTACAACAAGCTGTTTGAGGCTCTTTCATGTAAACATAAAATGGGGAGGAGAAGGCAAGATGAATGCTGACAAATTTCTACCATAAAAATGGTTCCATTATTGCATATGTCAATTTTGGAATTTGGCCAGTTTAGCTTGTTTCTCCTCATGTCCAGTGACTTTGCTCAAAATTTGTCATCAACTCCCCAGTCTCCCTTGCCATTCAGATGAAATAATGTCAGATTTTTATCATATTTTGTGGACAATTTTCTTTTAAATAAGATCAAATTCATTAATTTTGTCTTGGTTAACTGTTTAGGGAAAGCAATCTGGTCAACACTGGACCAAGCCTGCAATCACTGATATACATGCAATCACCAGTGGTATAGCTGTAACTAAGGATTTTCTATACCTGGATCAGCTCAAAACAGCAGCTTACATTTATAGAGCACCTTCTACATAGCAAATTTTCTAAATCACTAATAGGAGGGGACATACAAATTGGCCAGATTAAAAAGAACTGCAGACCTTAGAACTGTGAACAATTTAGAATTCAGTAAGGGAGAACACAGCAATCGACTAAGAAAGGGAAAATTGAGTTTGAGAGTAAGCTTGCGGGGAATATAGGAACTGACTATAAAAATTTATGTAGGTACATGAAAAGAATAAAAATAGTGATGAATGCAGGCCCCTAAGTCAGAAATTTATAACAGGGAACAAAGAAATGGCTGACCAACTAAAATACATACTCTGGTTCTGTACTCACAAAGGAAGACACAAATAACATACCAGAAATGTTGCATAACACAGGGTCTAGTGAGAGACAGAGGAACTGAAGCAAATCAGTATTAGTAGGGAAATGGTGCTGGGCAAATTGGTGGGATTGAAGGTTAATAGATTCTCAGATCATGATAATCTACACTCCATAATACTTAAGGAAGTGGCCCTAGAAAAAGCAGATGCATTGGTGGTCATCTTACAACATTCTACAGGCTGGAGGATAGCTTTTGTAACCCCTCTATTTAAGAAGGGAGGCAGAGAGAAAACTGGGAATTATAAACCATATCAGCCTGACATTAGAAGTGGGGATTATAAAAGAATTAATAGCTAAGTATTCAGAAACAGTGGTAGGACTGAACAGAGTCAGCATGGATTTACGAAAAGAAAATAATGGTTGACAAATTAATTGGAATTCTTCAAGGATGTAACTAATAGGGTTGATGAAAGGGAGCCTGTGGATGTGGTTTACGTGACCTTTCAGAAGGCTTTTGATAAAGTCCCACATAAGAGACAAGTGTGTAAAATTTAAGCAGAAGAGATTGGGATAGTGTATTGAGATGAATGGTAAACTAGTTGGCAGACAGAAAACAGAGTTGGAATAAACAGGTCATTTTTCCAAATGACAAGCAATTACTAGTGGGGATCCCAGATATTTACAATATATATCCTAATGACGCGGATGAGGGAGCTAATATCTCTAAGTTTGCAGATGACCTAAAGCTTGTCAGAGAACGAGTTGTGAGGAGGACACAGAAATGCTTCAGTATGATTTAAACAAGTTGAGTGTGGGGACAAATGCATGGCAGATGCAGTATAATGTGGATAAATGAGAGATTATGAACTTTGATAGCAAAAACAGGAAGACAGCTGATTATCTGGATGGCAACAGATTGAGAGGAGAATGTGCAAAGAGATGTGGGTGTCCTTGTACACCAGTTTCTGAAGGTAAACAGTAAAGAAGGTAAACGGTGGGTGGCTTTCACAGTGACATGATTCAAGTACAGGAACACAACTTACAGGACCCTGATGAGACCACACCTGAAATACAGTTTGCAGTTTTGATCTCCTTATCTGAGCAAGGTGTTCTTGCTATAGAAGAAGTGCAGCAAATCAGACTGATTCTTGGGATTGTAGGACTAACATATGAGGAGTGATTGATTCAGTTAGGATCATATTTGCTGAAGTTTCGAAGAATGAGGAGGTAATCTCATAGAAACATATAAAATTTTAATTAGGACTAGAATAAGTTAGTGCAGGAAGGATGCTTCCAAAGGCAGCTGAGTCCAGAACCACAGGTCAGAGTGTAAACCCTTCAGGACTGAGATGAGGAGAAATTTCTTTACACAGAAGGTAATGAGCCTGTGAAATTCACTACCATTGAAAACATCAAGGCCAAAACATTGCATGATTTCAAGAAGGAATTGGCTGAAGGAATAAGGTATATGGGGGAAAAGCAGGAATAGGCTTTGGAGTTGGATGGTCAGCCATGAACATAATGAATAGCACAGCAGACTTGAAAGGTCAAATGGCCTACTTGTGCTCCTATTTTCGGTTTCTATGCCTCATTAATAAAGGGAATCAAAGATTACAGGCGTAGATAGAAAAGTAGAATTAAGGCCACGAGCAGATCAGTTATGATTTTTATCAAACGGTATAAAACGTCTCGAAGGAACAAACTATCTACTGTTCCTCTTTATTCCTATGCTTGTATACTTGACATGGAATATTATCAGACAAAATATAAATCAAGTATCATACGCAGCTATTAAGGCAGGGTCACCAAAAGCCTGGTTGAAGAAATACATTTTAGGAAGCAACTTAGTGCAGGAAGAGATAAATAGGCAAAGTTTTAGTTCAGAACAGATGGTCACCAATGGTGGAGTGAAGGAAATCAGGAATGTACAAGGGGTTAGAATTAGAGGACTGTGGAGATCTGTGTTGTAGAGCTGGAAATGGTTATGCAAAAAGGCAATGGAGAGATTGAATAACATGATAAGAATGTATTAGGGAAAGATATTACTGGACCAAAAGCCTATGTAGGCAAGGAAACAAACGGTAATAGGCATTGAGGCAAGTTCAGATGCCAAGACCAAAATTCTGAATGAGTTCAAGATTATGGAAGATGATATGTGGGAGACCGACTAGGAAAGTATCAGTATTCAAAAGGGAGTGATGACAAAGCTGTGGATGAGGGTTTCAGCAGGGGCAGGGACGTGACATTGCGAAAATGGAAGTCTTCGATATAGAGAGATTGTGGGGTAAGAAATGGAGTTGGGTAAATGTAGCAGCCAGGCTGGTTCAGTCTGAGCAGCCTGGGAGGGAAGCTGGAGATTAAGGAGTTGAGGTTGTAATGCTGACTGTAAACAATGGTTCAATTTTTTAGTGTTAAATTGATGTTGTGTTCCTTCGGTAATTGCTGTTGGACGATGAGAATGCAAACTAAAAATCCCGCAAACAGCAAATTTGTCTGGGTTTGATGGGATAAAGTTTAATCAATTGTTATAATTCTGATAGCCAGTTGGTGAAACAAAGAATTGGATCATAGTTTTTGTACATTTACATTTTTATTCATGGTAACAAATTATAATGGTATTTTCAATAGAACAATCACAGAAATAAAATAAATAATTACAATTGATATGCAGTTAACATCAACGACCACATCACTTCTGCCTGGCAAAACTCAACCCTAACAAATTCTCATTGAAGTAAGCACAGAAGACACTGTCAATGGTGGCTAGTGAAGTGGCCCATTATAGTAAGATTCGCTATAAAACATTGCAAAACCATGAGAGTGCTCAACTAATGCAAATACATTAAGTAATATTTTCTCTAGAGACATTTTGATAAACAAACAGCAGCTGTGTCTTACAGAGACATTACGAAATGAAAATTACTCACACAAAAGATGAGATAGAATCTGTGGTAGATGCAAAAGGAAGAAAATTGACCGCTGCTGAACTAAGAGCTTCAGACATAACAAAAGACAAGGCAAAAGGAAATTCCAGGTTTTTTCCTATTATTGTCCCCAAGGGCAGATTTGTCTCACCCTCATCACTACACCAAAGTAATAATGGAACTGAACTGATAAAAATAATTGTTTCTTTTCCCTTCAATCATCCATAAATAACACTTCCCCCACATCACATGTGGGTAGGGAACCTACTTGCAGGACTCAGCTCTTGAAACTAAACCTTTGGATGTGTCGAAGAAGTGCCCACATTAACAGTCAACTACTTTCCCATGAGGAACTATTCAGCAGCTCTCACCTTTCTGTATGGCGGGAGATCTACTAGTTTACAAAGTACAGGAAAGTATCCACCTTCTTTCACTACACAGAATAACAATTCATTGTGTCATCAAGCTTTCCAGAAGAGACACTTCACCAAAACAAAAGCAGTGCAAATTAGTTATACACGAATTCTTTGAACCAATTGGTTTTAATTGTCAAAAAGCAAACCATACACAAAACAGTGCAAAAGATGTACAAACCTGGAAGTTTCTAATGTTACTGATGGTTTTGGCTGATGTTCCCTCAACAAATGGCGACCTCCCGTAAATCATTTCATAAGCAATCACACCTAGAGACCACCAGTCACATTCCACACCATATGAAGAACATCCATCACCATTCAGTACAGTCAGTACTTCAGGAGCCATGAAATCTGGTGTACCAACTGGTAACTTTGAGCTAACCTGTTGACAAGAACAAAAGAATCAGGTATCAAATACTTAAAACTTAATAACTAGATTTATAACCGATAGCCAGTTTTCTTTACACTTGAGCAGTATATAAAACACCAAGATGTAAATTGTTTAATACTGCAGGGTGGTTGATTTCCATTGTGTAATATAAATCGGTAAAATATTCAATCTGGATCACGTAAAGCACCAAACATTTCCATTCTTTTAAAAATCAGGAACAAAAAATACATTTAAATTAAGAATTGGAAAAACAAGCAGCCAGGTGCTGATATTGGCTTCAGTGTACTGTAGTGAAAAGGGAAATAAAACTTTCTTCTAGTGTTTAAGTCATTTTCTGATTCCAGAGACCATACTCCTTGAGAATCAAAAACCAATCAATCAATCAATCATTTATCATAACATTTTCAACAGAAAATTAAAAGATTAAAATATTTACAGGAAAGTAGCTGCAAAGCACCTCATTATTTTAAAATAACTCAATGCAGGGTACTCTTGAAAGAGTCATTAAACTCAATTATTCTAAATCATACTCGAAGACAAGCAACATGGCACCATCTATTCTTTCAAACGTAAGCTGATCAATGATATTTAGAAATATTTTGCACCATCTTGTACCAGGGCCACTTAATATCTCATAGGTACAATGTGGAATGTGGCAGCTAAAATAACAGACTGATCTTGGAGACCAACAGTAACACCAACAAGTTGTTTGAAGGTCAACTGCGATTTAATCTAATATTTAGGCCCAATATTGTTGGATCTGGTACCTTCTAATTCTTTTCAGAAACCATCAGGTACAGTGTTGTGCCAACAGTGAAAGATACTTACATACGTGCAATGTAGCAACTAGACGCGTCCTTCCTTCAGTTTTGAACCGCAATTTATGATATTAAATTTCAAACTGTTGAGAGGTACAGAAAACTAAAAAGAATCACATTTTATCAGGAAATCAACTTTAGGAATTTGATGTTGTAGATTCTTGTTCTTAAAATACCAAAATTTCCACACCCAATTTTGAAGTGAATATCAAGATTACTTCTAAGACTAAGGATTTAGCTAGATGGTTAAGAACAGCCTTGTAATGCAAGTATAATTCTCAGATCTTGACATTACAATTTTTACTTTACTATCCGAGAAAAAATACACTATACAGCTCATTGAAGCTGCTCCCTATTCAATACAATCATAGATAATCTTCAGCATCAACCGTCCATATGTCCTGCTCCCCATATTCCAGGAACGCCAAAAATCTGTCTATCCCAGGCTTAAACTTTCTAATGATGGAACATTTAAGTCCTGAGGTGCAGATGTGTAAAGAATCACCATTCACCCACTGCAACGTTCACCATTTGTAAAGCACTATATAGAACAGAATGAGAGGGCAAACATGTGGCAGATGCAGTATAACATGGCTAAATGTGAAGTTGTACACCTCAGTGTGAAAAACAAGAGAGTATTATTTAAATGGTGATATACTAGGAAATGCAGATGTTCAAAGGGAACTGGGTAGCCTTGTACACCAGTTATTGAAAAGTAGACAGGTAAGTGCAACAAGCAATTAGGAAGATGAATAGTAAATTGGCCTTCATTGCAAGAGGATTGGAATGCAGATGCAAGAATGTCTTCCTGTAGTCATACTGGACCTTGGTGAGACCACATCTAGAATATTGCATGCAGTTTTGTTCTCCCTACCTAAGAAAGGATAACTTGCCATACAGAAGCACTGCAGAGATTCATAGGCTGAAATCCAAGAATGGATCGACTGGGTCTGCATTCACTGGAGTTTAGAAGGACGAGAAGAGGATCTGATCGAAACAAAATTCTAACTGGAACACACAGACTAGATGCAAGAAGGATGCCTTCCTGGTTGGGGAGTCTAGAACAGGGCACACAGTCTCAGGATATGTGGTAGACTATTTAGGACTGAGGTGAAGAAATACTTTTTCATTCAAAGGGTAGTGAACCTGGGGAATTCTCTACCATACAAGGATACGGAAGCCAAGTAACTAAATAGATTCAATAAAAGGTGACCATTAGATTTTAAAAGGGGCACGGGGAGAAAGCAGGAGTATGGCATTGAATCAGCCACAATCATATTGAACAAGAGCAGGCTTGAAGGGATGAATGGTCTATTCCTGCTCCTAGTTTCTGTGTTTTAGAAATCCAAATATACTTCATCTATTAGTTTCGCTATATGTATCATACTAGTTATATCCTCGATAAACTCAATATTTTCAAAGAGGACTTGCCTTTCATAAAACCATGCTGACTTTGTCCAATAATATGAGGATTTTCTAAGAGCATTGTTTAGACTTCCTTGATAGATTCAAACACTTTTCTAATGACTGATACTAGACTAACTTACCTATAGTTTATAATTTCTAATATTCTCCTTTAGTTGAATGGCTGTTTTACACTTCTTCGCTTCTAGCATAGCAGGTCTTGAAACAAAGATTCAATGATTTTCCCCTTTGTAACCTGGGATTAAATTTATTGCTATTTGGGTATGCTGATGCTTCTGATATGCATGTGATAGAAATGGCAACATCTACAATTTTTTTTTTAAATGACACACATCTACGTTGTGCTTTGCACAACATCCAGTGTTTTGCAGTCAAGCACTTCTGATGTGTGGTCACTTTTGGAATGCGAAAAGCCCAGCAGCCAATTTACATATAGCAAGTTTCCATAAATAGTGACATGGCAAGTCAAGATGCTCTTTTACCATGGTAACTGAGCAATAAATATTGGCCAAGGTTCTGGGGATAACTTTCCTGCTCTTTTTCAAAACTAACATACTGGACCTTTTAGTTCACTTTAATAGGCAGACATCACCACAATTAAATGCCTTATCTGAAAGACTGTCCCTCTAACACTGCCGAACTTAATCAATACTGGAATAGAAGCTTATATTGTACGATCGAGTGTCAAAAATAGATCTGAAATTAAAATAAAAAAGGTGGCACAAAAGCAGGAGCCAATTGTTTGGAGAAATGTCTAAAAGGCAAGGCAGAAATCATGGAAAAGAGAATGATCAAGAAAGGGACAAATCCTACATACTAGATTACCAGCATGCCAATGAAATAACCTGGAAAACTGAGACTATGCATTGAACAAAATGATATCAATAAAGCTTAGGAGGAATCTCACTACCTCATGTTAACCACTCAAGAAAGTTTCTCACAACCTATCAAGGCAAAAGGTGCTTACTAACATTCATGCAAAGGATAGTTACTGGTAAGTGAAGCTGGATGAAAGCAGCAGTTTTCAAACTATATTCTGGATTTGATTTAGGAGATACAGAGTTACACATGCCATTTGACATTTTCACTGATCCAGAACAGCACTAAATAGTCACTGACATTCCCAGGAGTGGAGGTGTGGTGATCTGCTTGTCAATGGATGTGGAAACACAATGGAAGAGCATGGCAGTTCACAAAGAGAATCCATATGACTGCTAAAGAGCTTGCCAGATGAACCTGGTGCTGAACAAAAGATATTGCAACTGAAGGTGCCTGAAGTAAATAGGTTATATACTGACAGTAAAAGGACTTCACCCAGATTCAACCAACAAGAGGAGAGTTATATTAGATATGCAACAACCAATAAATGTGAAATCAGTGCAATCAGGAATCAATTTGTTGGATTCATGAACTGAGGAAGTTCTTGCCTAAATTGTTAGAGAGTGAACAACCTATAGAAGCTTACAGTACTGAAGTGTGGAACAGATGTAGCTTTCTCTAGAGTCAACAACAAATCAATGTGCTCTGAAAATCACCGACCCAATAGAGAACTTGTACCCGAAAGACAAGAGTCCTGTTCTGATTAACCACTCACAATGGGAAGAACATTCTAAAAAGAAATATCACTACTCCAAGAATGAGCAGACACTAGACAAACTGGCAACAACAACTTGCACGCATGTCATTAAAAGACCTTGAGAGATCATGGATGAAATACATATGTGCAGAGCGAGCAAAGTAGGATAGACTAAAATTGCAACAGTTTTGCTCACGAATGATACTTTTTGTGATATCAGTGTATATTGGGTAACTTACAACTGTAAATAGTGTATCATTTTTTTCTGTAATCAAATGAGGAAGTTCAGCAATATACATTTGTACATAAATGTACTGTCTGGCTTGCTGTAGCTATGTGATCTCTACCTCTGATGCTGCTTTCCCTTTAGAACGAGATGCCCTTAAGTACATTACATAAAATGGCAATTAGCTGATATTTACCCACATTTATCATTTTCTGTCCTTAAAAGAAGTTGGATCATTTTTTCTTGAGCAGAAATAAAGAACACCTTAAACCAATGACTTCTATAGATTTGAAGTTTATTCTTATTTGTTTGACCATCCTATAGTTAAAATTGATTATTAAAAATAAATATAATGTACGACAGCTGAATTTTAAAGATAATACAGATCTTTGGACCATTTCCACAGAAGAATGCTGTAGTGTGTTCTCTAATTCAAGAACAAATAACAAATGATTATAAAACTCCCTGTTTTTAAGAACTTGAAAAAGTTTAAACAATTCTGTCGCTAAGAGGCTTGTCAATTTCTAGACTCTATCCAAGCCACTAAACAGCAATAATGCAAATCTGAGTCCTTCTGCACAGTGGACCCAAGAATCAGCCACATTGGGAAACCTGAAAACATTTTGTACACAGTTCCCTCCGTGTACCTCCAGACAGAATTACACTATTTAATACATCACATTGTACCAATCCAATCACAGTACTTCCATACACTTTCTTGGACACAACAGGCTGCAGTATTAAAATACAACCTAGTTTGAGCATTTGGAGTTTTAACCATACCGTTTTATTTCCAGTCAGTTTGGCCGCTGATCCAAAATCTGCCAGTTTAATATGTCCTGTTCGATCAATTAGGATATTCTCAGGTTTGATATCTCTGAGAAGAGAAAGGAAAAAGATCATTACTAGAAACACCATATGTAGTTTAGGAATTATTATTAAACAGACAATTCCAGAGTCCCACATGAAAGTACTATTTGTGCTGATTGACAGCATTCCCATCTCATCAGCAGCTTGTGAACCTAAGCCACATTCTAGCACCTGAGGAAGTGCTGCATTGTTAGTGATGTTGCTCTTCTTAAACATACTTCTCCATAAACTTAACCGCAAGTGAACGGAGCAATAGTCTACTCCACAGTTAATGAAAGGGAAGTACAGATGAGATTACTGTTCCACCACTTTGAAATGCAGAAATCTTAAGCAGTTTGTATCAGAGATATACAGAAACAGCAACTATTTCTAACTAACAAGCTCAGCAGATCTCTAAGTGTGGCAAGATACTGCTCCCTTTAGCAGGGTCATCTAACCTGGAACTGGTTCCGATTAACTCATCAAAAGACAACCCTTAGAGGAAGCTATACTCTGATTTATCTACGTTAGCCAGGATCATCAATTGTGCAATATTAATATTATCTCAAAATTGGTCCCCAAGGTTATCTCCAGATAAAGCACATTTTTTCAATATGCTAGCAGCATTGAAAGGTAACAATCAGTACAGGATTTCTGTTAAAAGGAATCCACTTATGCAATATGTTTCTTGGAGTTAGCCTGACTTTGTGTTCTCCACTATCAAAGCCAATGAACAGAACATCCTAGTATTAATATATTGGCACACCGATTTATGGTCTGCATCATAACATGCAATTTTGATTACCTAAAAATATTTTTTAGGCAGAGCAATTTTTTGAAGCAGTAAAATCCTTTATGTGCACAATATCATAAAAATAATCAATCAGTGGCTTTGATTATGATTATATGACAATTTAGCTATGTCAGTAATTTTATTCTTTACTTAAAAACACAAAAAAGTATTGGTGGGAAGTGATTCTGATGGTACTACATGTCAAATCAGAGAGAGAGTTTGGGCAACTGATAGCCACATGATTTGGGACAGTACTTGTTGGTTCTGAGAGAATTGTTCACGATCTGGTAAAAGTAATAATGTTGCAAAATTCCAATAACAAGGAAAGGCGGAGCCTTGGGCACAGAAGGATGCACCACAATGGGATGCGAGATTGGTCATTGGAACAGTGGGAAATGTGATGAAGATTAATATTACCTGAACATTTGGATTCTAAAGTAGAGACAATTGGCTTTTTGGTTTTAGTTATGTGGAGGTGACCTCTTTTTTTTTAATAAAAAGGTCAGAAAGTGATTTTGAACATAGTTCAAAAATAGCGTTTTCAAGAAATCACGCAACTTAATTAGGGAACTAGGTAAGTGTAGCTACCTGCTGAGATAACTGAAGCATTTACAAAATTGAGCTTTTACCAACTACAAAAAAAGAGAGACCAGGGGCTACAAGTAGAATCAGTTCAGAAGTAGAGATTCATACTAACAGAACAACACTGTTTAATTTGAGGGCCCAGGCCATCAGAGCTAGAAAGTAGTAGTAAGCGGTGCAAGAAGGAAGGACTAGAAGTCAATGTTACAACCAGCCCCTAAGCAAGTTTCCTGAAGTTATTACAGTTTCCGACAGGATAGCCCAAAACATTAAGCTCTTAGGTAAGGAGGAATACATTGGCTCCCCTTGCTTATTTAGTTAGTTTCTACCTTCATTTGGTCAGAATAAAGTTAATTTGAAAAAAAACCTTTCCTCCCTTCGGATGCCTTTTTTTCTCCCCATACCAAATTAATTGATGTTTTAAAAGGAGCCCAATTAACCAGGCTTTTTTGAGTTAACAAACGAGACAGTTTATTAGTTAATGAATGCAAGAATAAACAATAACATACATATTAGGTATGAGGAGTCAGAGAAGGATAAATAAGATAAAAGATATGTGGATCAGCATTTATGGGTCATGCATAAACGGCAGGTGGAGGATTGTTGATAGTTAAGCAGTTAACTTTGGAGATTCTTCACTTTGCAAGTTGGTTGAAATTCTTTCATCTTGCCTTCATTTGATGGTGTTTGGCTGGCAGCACCAGACTGTAAAAGTCCTTCTTAATCTGTTTACTTTTCACTAGCTTGCTGGCTTATCGAACTCAGTGAAGTAGACTGTACACACATATGTCAGCTCACTAGCATACATTCTTCCAGTGGTGTACACAGACCAGAACTGAACTGGCTTTTAACCCTGTTCTTGTATTTCCTTGGGAAAGAAGGCACAAAACATGCCTCTCACCCAGACTGCTGTCAGTTCTCCCATCATGTCCATAATCTGAGATAACTCCCAACACATTAAAGTTCAATTTGTTATGCAATTCTTTTATGTCTATCCCTTTAAAGTTTCCTTGACACCTTATCAGGTGTGATATTCCAGAATCTCTCTCTTCCCAGATAGACATTAAATTTATATCTGCAGACATTTTTCTGGCTGGAGCAGTCTTCTTTTAAAAAAATATGCGTTTGAATTAAAAGTTCAATATATCCACGGATGATCCAGGTTATGATCCATAGTCATGACATTGGTGAGGAAAGGTCAATGCGTTTGTCTCTCCCAGACAAAGAGACTAAGAGAATCACATCTGGTAAAAGTAAAGAAAGTCACTGAAAGGAAATGTTTGCAACTTTGTCAGCTCAGTAAGTAATTACAAGTGAAGATAGGACTGATAGTTCATTGGAGTTGAATATCTGTCAATGATATTGCTGGGAAAGAGGGTTCAATCTTTCTTTTTAAGATAACAAGGTATAGAGCTGGATGAACACAGCAGGCCAAGCAGCAGAGGAGCAGGAAAGCTGACGTTTCGGGCCTAGACCTTTCTTCAGAAATGGGGGAGGGGAAGGGGTTTTGAAATAAATGGGGGGGGGGCGCGGATAGAAGATGGATAGAGGAGAAGATAGGTGGAGAGGAGACAGACAGGTCAAAGAGGCAGGGATGGAGCCAGTAAAATTGAGTGTAGCTGGGGAGTTAGGGAGGGGATAGGTCAGTCCAGGGAGGACAGACAGGTCAAGGGGGCAGGATGAGGTTAGTAGGTAGGAGATGGGGGTGGGGCTTGAGGTGGGAGGAGGGGATAGGTGGGAGGGAGGACAGGTTAGGGAGGCGGGGACAAGCTGGGCTGGTTTTGGGATGCGGTAGGGGGAGGGGAGATTTTGAAGCTTGTGAAGTCCGCATTGATACCATTGGGCTGCAGAGCTCCCAAGCGGAAAATGAGATGCTGTTCCTGCAAACTTCGGGTGGCATCGTTGTGGCACTGCAGGAGGCTCAGGATGGACATGTTGTCTGAGAAATGGGAGGGGGAGTTGAAATGGTTCGCAACTGGGAGGTTCAGTTGTTTAGTGTGAACCGAGCGTAGGTGTTCTGCAAAGCGGTCCACAAGTCTTCGCTTGGTTTCCCCAATGTACAGGAGGCCACAACGGGAACAGCGGATACAGTATACCACATTAGCAGATGTGCAGGTGAACATCTACTTGATGTGGAAAGTCTTCTTGGGGCCTGGGATGGGGGCGAGGGGGCAGGTGTAGCACTTCCTGCGGTTGCAGGGAAAAGTGCCGGGTGTGGTGGGGCTGGTGGGGAGTGTAGAGCGGACAAGGGAGTCCCAGAGAGAGTGGTCCTTCCAGAAAGCAGATGGGGGGGTGGAGAGAAAAATGTCTTCGATGGTGGGGTTGGATTGCAGATGGCAGAAGTGTCAGAGGATGATGCATTGGATCTGGAGATTGGTGGGGCGGTACGTGAGGAGGAGGGGGATTCTTTTTTGGTTATTATTGCGGTGAGGGGGTGTGAGGGATGAGTTGCAGGAAATGCGGGAGACATGGTCAAGGGCGTTCTCGACCACTGAGAGGGGAGAAGTTGCGGTCCTTGAAAAACGAGGACATCTGAGATGTTTGGGAGTGGAATGCCTCATCCTGAGAGCAGATGCGGTGTAAGTGAAGGAATTGGGAATAGGGGATGGCATTTTTGCAGGAAGGTGGGTGGGAGGAGGTGTATTCTAGGTAGCTATGGGAGTCGGTGGGCTTGAAATGGATATCGGTTTCCAGGTGGTTACTAGAGATGGAAACAGAGAGGTCCAGGAAGGAGAGAGAGGTATCAGAGATGGTCCAGGTGAACTTAAGGTTGGGGTGGAAGGTGTTGGTGAATTGGATGAACTGTTCGAGCTCCTCGTGGGAGCACAAGGCAGCGCCAATACAGTCATCAATGTAACGGAGGAAGAGGTGGGGTTTAGGGCCAGTGTAGGTACAGAAGAGGGATTGTTCCACGTAACCTACAAAGAGGCAGGCACAGCTTGGGCCCATGCCGGTACCCATGGCCACCCCCTTTGTCTGTAGGAAGTGGGAGGAATTGAAAGAGAAGTTGTTGAGGGTGAGGACGAGTTCGGCTAAGCGGATGAGGGTGTTAGTGGAGGGGGACTGGTCGGTACTGCTGGACAGGAAGAAGCGGAGGGCCTTTAGGCCATCTGCATGGGGAATGCAGGTGTATAGGGACTGGACGTCCATGGTAAAGATGAGGTGTTGGGGACCAGGGAATTGGAAGTTTTGGAGGAGGTGGAGGGCGTGGGTGGTGTCAGGATGTCGGTAGGGAGTTCCTGGACCAAGGGGGATATCTCTGAAACAATTTTTCTTTTTGCTAATTTTAATAAGATCATATATATATAGTTTTTATTATCACAAAATAAAACATTTTCTTCCAAAAGTACATTGAACATATTTGCACGAGGCTGACAGTAACTGACCGCCACAGTTACCAAATAGGAGAAAGCAGACCACTTTATTAGCACCCCCATCATCTTCAACAGTCACTGTCTCCATTGTCTTCAATAGTCACTGTCTCCATTGTCTTCAATAGTCACTCCCACCCGAGTCTTCAACAGTGGCAGCATTGTGCAAAAGGTACAACGCATACTGCAGTTACTCACCATCATTAGACATTCCAGATTTTTTTAAAAACTGAATTCAAATTCCATCATCTGCTGTGGCAGGATTTGAACCCAGGTCTCTAGGACATTACCTGGATCTCTGGATTAACAGTTCAACGATAATACCCACTAAGCCATCACCTCAGATGACAACTTATTAAAAATAATATTTTAAGCACACATTAACAATATGAAACATTTTAACTTGAATAGCTCTACATTCCAATAGAACAAATTAGGATCCTATGAATGGAACAGAGCTGAAATAATTTTAAATGAAGAAGGTGCTCAATTATTCAGAGCAATTAACTCAACAACATGGGGAGACAATACCTACAACAGAATTCTGAATCACAGAATCAAAAATAACCAAACAAAAAAAGTGCATGGGAACCCAAGAAGTAAGTCTCACTGTTATGGTTTTCAATATAAAAAGCACTTCAATAATCTGTACTCCCTTCACAGTCAAACATCATCTGCTCTATCATCTTGGAAATGTCTTAAGCTATTGCTACTACATTAAACACTTACATAAAAGAAAGTCAGTGGTTATCATAATTTCTGTATGGTTTGTTCAAAAGGACCAAGAACAATAGCTACCTTACAGAAAGCTGTATACTAGATAGCTCGACACAAAAGCCTTCATTTCCATTGCCTTAAAAAGGAGATTCTTCCCATTTCACTCAACAAAAATAACTGATCTCAAATCCAGTTGGTACAAAAGGTACTAACAATTACAATTACATGCAAATTTAGGACTGGCTGTGTGAACATATTAATAGTCACTTAGTATCAATTTTCATTTTCCACAAGCCTTTATAATGTTGCAAAGTTCGGTAGAGTACTTGTGAATTGGGAAGCAGGAAGTTAGAATTTGGTGTTTGTAAAGTGCTAGGGGGGGAAAGCATCGCATGTTCCCCTTAAAAGATAATGTGCTTTTCTGTGCTTAGGGGTTTAAAATGGATGTCTGTGAGCAGCAGCTTGAAAGTTTGCAAGTGTTCACAGAACACCCAAATTGAAACATTTGTATTGAAAGGCCGTACAATTAGCAGGCCAAGCAGCAGATTTTACCAAGACAGCAGGCTTTGAATTTAGCCAATCAATTTGAAGCAGCTACTTAAATTTAATAGGTTTTTGGTATCTAAGACCGATGATTTTGACAACATAGCCTAATCCTTATTATAAGAAATATTGGTATGTCATCAAGGGTGTAAAAGGGGGCAGTTGGACATAGAGCCTAGAGCTAGCTGCCATCTGCCGGAGCTAACGGCCCTCAGCTTTCAAGAGAGAATCGCTGCTTCTCACAGCCTCCTTTATGTCTTGGAGAAAGCACCATCTAAATAACAACAGTACCAATGGCACAACTAGTTAATATATCTGACGGAAGAATCGACAGAGAAGGCACAGAACATTCTGGAAGACATGTAACCTGGCTGTAATTTCAAGAGACTAAATTCCATTTTTTTTTTTAAACAGTTATTTAAGTCAGCATGATTTGCTTTTTAAACTAAAATGAGCGTGTTCTATCAAAGACAGCTAATTTAGCCAGATAACTTATATAGTTGGTAAGAAAAAAAGACCATGTATGACAGTTAATTATAGGATAGAAGTGCAAAGCAATTATTACTTCCCATTACAAGGAACATATAAACTAATAAAAAAAAACTACTCTTAACAAGTGAGATTGTACTTCTATTTGCTGTTTTAATTACTATTACAGGTAGAGAACCTCTAATCTTGCTACTCGAAAAGCACGGTGTCTGAAAACCAGACATATTTATAAACTTTCATGCAATCTTAATTGAATGTTGTTTTTTTAAGTCCTGGACAATTTGGTTAGGCACTGTTTGGTTAGTTCTGAGGAAGGGTCACCAGACCCAAAACATTAATTCTGATGTTTTCTTCACAGATGCTGCCAGACCTGCTGAGCTTTTCCAGCAACTTCTGTGTTGGTTAGGCACTACATTACTACAGTATAGCTCCAGACTAGTTATCAGCTTTGCCACTTCATGTGCTGCTCTATCCTGCTCCATGATCCACCTGATCCAATTTGACCCAAATTACACATTGTCTGATCCATCTGACCTGCAAACTGGAAATCTCTCTCAGGCTCAGTCCCAATGATAGCAAATCTGAAGTACTTATATTTATAATACAGTTTAAGAAATTAAGATCGGAGACATCATTCTCAGATGGTGTTCCTTGTAAGAAACATCCCTTGAAGGAAGTTTTACTTTAGTTCATCTTTAGACAAGCTAACAACCTACACACGAGTACCATTCCTTTCCTACTAAATGAGAATGCAGGATGCCTCACAGATGCTTACCTATGAACGTAGCCCATCTGGTGAACACTATGAATGGCTAGAACTAACTCAGCCAGATAGAATTGAGCCATACTCTCATCAAACTGATCATCGTAACGATTCAGGAGTGCCAATAGGTCCCCTCCCGGTTGGTATTCCATTACCTAAAAGCAAAACACAAATCATTTTAATATAAATGCTGCACACAGCTGTAGAATATATTTATTTAACATCTGTTCCATACGGCATGTAACTTTTGACATAATAGACTTCCATGCATCCAAGTTGGGAAATAAATAATTGCTGCGTTCTCATTCAGATAGCAGTTCCAGAAAGGCATGTATGTATTTCGATATCAGGAGAAATGAGTCATGGAGGTGAGCTGTCTATTCTTAACTCAAAGATAGGCACAGGTAGTCCTCAATTAACACAATTTTTACTTTGCTACCCATCATTCCATGTCATTAGCAATAACTTACATGATTCCCAGCAACCACCTCTATCAATCATTGCTCCTAAGCATTTTAACCATGGAAGCAAAGAAATGGCAGCTAAGAAAAAGAGGAAATGTATTTCAGAGAGTTAAATTGGACACACTTTCAAAATTCGAGTATGGCAAGCAAAACATGGATATCCAGAGAGTTTTGGATCTCACTGATTCAACCTTGTGCACAATTCAAATGTACTGCTGATAAACTAGAGCAAGTGGTAAAAGCGTGACTCAAATTGGTCATGCATGTCTATGGTAATGAATGATTTACATGAGTTTCTACAGTAATGTATGTTTTGAAATAATGTGGTTTCATTTAAAAGGGTTGTTTTCAAGAACTTAATTATTACGTTAAAACGACACCTATCTGGAATTACCTATCAAGGAAGCTGCCAGTATACCTGGAGCCATACCTGAGCAAGTCAGAATCTTTATAAAGATATGTGGAGAAAATTGAAATAAACCCATTTTCAGTGAGAAAACAAAATTTGGCTAGTTTCGCCCAAATCAAAAACTTCAGCACCCTTTGATGAGATTTAAGATTCAACAATCAGGAGCTGAGCAATCCTCCTGTGTACTGGATAGTAAGTGTACCACTGGGCCAAAATGTCTGAGAACAAGTTCCGAACAAGTTATAGCATATCTGAGCAGGCTGATTAAAAATATTTACAAGGTACTAAGTACATATTCCAAAAGGAAAAATGTTGCCAACTACAGTCATTGGTTTTTAAACAGTTCAGTATTAATTTGACCCACCTAAAAAGTAAGCTCCATCTGCAAATCAGCCTTCAATTAATTAGACTATCGGCTTGCCTAGGATTTAGCAGAGATCAGCACCCTATGTGACTAGGTGTCTCAGTTCCTTTAAAACCAATACATTCCTTTCCTTTGCTTTCCATCAGACCTGATAAAGACAACAAACCGAGTTCACTTCCAAATTATGTCAGTTGTATTGTTATGGCTAGAGTGATAGAGTAGGTCAATGTTTTGACTATCAGGTTGACTACTGAATGAAACTGTAGATGAAGCCCAAATTCTCTAAAGTGCATATACATCGCATGCAAGTGATTATTTGCTGTTTCAGTTACCTGCAATCAGAAGCAGGCAGTGTCACACTGCTTTAAGTAAGAGGGTCAAGTGGAAAAGTATACACTTTTATGCATCAGGAGAAGCATTTGTCAGGCAAGTACTCCAGTCTTGTGCAAGTAGTTTTAGATAAAAGGGGCAGTTGCGCAAAATTGCAATGCTTGTAGTTCCAAATTAGAGCTTTTGGGTAATCAAGCTTTTTGGAGTTCACCTTGACGAATGACAGATACAGCTTTCCCAGCATTCCTTTAACAAATAGGTGCAAAAGCACACAAATATTGCATTTTTTTAAAAAAGTGAAATGTAGCAGTAACACTGTATATTTAAATATGCAGTAATTTTCCCATTTAAGATATTTTTAAATAGATTTGGCTTATAGGAAGTAATCATTATTTTAAACTGTCTCCCAATTATTCCAGATATCCTTTTTTTTTTGCTGTCCCAAAACATTAAAGCAGTTAACAGAAAACACCATCAACTCTCACCCAACTCTATCCTGGGGTGTTACAGTAGCTCAATGGTCAGGGACAGTGCCGAAGACCTGGGTTTGATTCCAACCTTGGGTGACTGTCTGTTTACAAGTTCTCCCATGTCTGTGTGGGTTTCCTCTGGGTGCTCTGGTTTCCTCCCACAGTCCAAAGATATGCAGGTTAGGTGGATTGGCCACGGGAAATGCAGGGTTACAGAGCTAGGGCAGGTGGGTGGGTCTGGGTGGGATGCTCTTCGGAAGGGTTGGTGGACTCGAAGGGCCAATGGCTTCCTTCCACAACATAGGGATTCTATGATAGTAAATATAAAATAAACCTGCCAACAAAACCAGAATCTCTCAGGACACCAGTGTCCAGACATATCCAGAGAGTTGATCATCTGCCCATAGATCTTATACTGAGAGTTTTGTCCAACTGGAGCCCAATCACTGCATCCGTCCACTCTATCTTGTGGCTTGTGCTGTTGTTGTTCCTCTTGTCATTCTTCAAGAGGAGCAAAACGAACTGCATAAATTTCTTCCCAAGATTTGGTGAAGGCTGGCAATAGAGAATTGTTACTGCATGCAGGATATTTGAAGTGGCTTCAAAGGATTAGGCAATCACCTGCTGATTGACCCTGGAACATTACTGACAAGCTGGGCAAATTGGTCTCCTGGCTGTCCAAGCCAAACTGAAAGGTTAAAGAGACACTTAATTGCTGCTTGTGTAATTTAGTTACCTCAAAGCAGTTCTCTGATCCATTTCAAACCATCAAGATGAAACTTGGAGGAGGACAGAATTGATGTCAAAAAGTTGAGACCTAATGTCACCTTTAGGGGTATTAGCTTCATGATGCGCCCAGGCCATTTTCCACTTGCCTGTGAGTAATCGTCCCTTAGAGACTGAATGCATTCCATGTCAGTGTTAATCATGTATTAATTGGGCATTTAATTGTCTCCTGTTGATAGGTATCAACTGGGGATTCACTTGTACTCCTTTGAGGCACAGTGGAAGTGTCCCTACCCCTGGACCTGGAGGCACAGGTTTAAGTCCCACCTGCTCCAGAGACGCATAATAACATCTCTGAACAGGTTGTTTAGAAAAAAACATTTTCAAAAGAAAATGAGATTAGAAGAGTCAACATGTGTAAAACATTATATTCCTGGACTTTTGTAGTGCAGTGGTAGTGCCCTGACCCTTGGTTCAAGACCCACCTGCTCCACCTCTGAACAGATTGATTAGAAAAATAGGTTGAACAAAAAAAAAAAAATTTAACTGGTACTCCTTTGTATTAGGGTTAGGTTTAGGGTTAGTGCAGTGGGCCAGCTTCAATTCCCACCTGCACCAGAAGTGCGTAATAACATCTCTGAACTAATTCGTAGAAAATATTCAAGTCCTGCCTGTTCTGGAAGTGTGGTATTTAATAACATATCTGAATAGGTTGATTAAAAACAACAACAGAGCGGTCCAACTGACCTGGATCCTGCAGTCAGCAAACCCCAGAGATCATTAAGAAATAGTCTAATTGAACTTACACTCAAGTGGAGAGTTTTTTTCTCTTTATTCATTCATGGGATGAGGGCATCACTGGCTAGGCAGCAGTTATTGCCCATCCCTAATTGCCCAGAGGGCGGTTACGAGTCAACCACATCGCTGTGGGTCTGGACTCACATGTAGGCCAGACCAGGTAAGGATGGCAGTTTCCTTTCCTAAAGGACATTACTGAACCAAATGAGTTTTTCCAACAATCGACAATGGATTCATGGTCATCATTAGACTCTTGGTTCCAGATATTTATTGAATTCAAATTCCACCATCTGCCATGGCGGGATTCAAACCCCTGTCCCCAGAACATTATCCAAGTCTCTGGATTAACAGTCCAGCGATGATACCACTAGGCCATCGCCTCCCCTTGTAAATTAAATTAAAAAATTCTTGTACTCCTTTGTTAGGGCTCTTGTGGCTCAGTGATAATCTCCCTACATCCAAGCCAGGAGTCCAGGGTTCAAATTCTACCTGCTCCAGAGCTGTGTAATAACATCTCAGAATGGTTTAATTAGAAAAGATCTTGTACTCTTTTGTGTAGGTGCAGACTGAAACTGTGTTTGTTGGGTTTGGAGATGCACGTATGTAATGTGTTTTTAAGTAAAACCTTATGATTACCTATTCTTCAGCACTTGCTATTTAGGGTGCAGTCAGTACGTTTTGGAATAACCAATTATTTTATCAGTGCTGAATATCAGCATCATGACTTCATCCCCATAATGGACAGTATACAGCAGTAGTGACCCTACCACTGAATCAGGAGGCTATGGGTTAAATTCCCACCCACTTCAGAGGAATATAATAACACTTTTGAACAGATGGATTTGAAAATATTTACAGACTGCCAACCAGTGACAACATTAAGCTAGAAAAAAATCTCAATTGCTTAAATACACAAACAGACAATACCTGTTCGAAGTAAACAATCATCACTCAAACTCCGTCTCTCTCACCATCCTCAAAAAGAAATCAAGCACTTTGCAAATCAAACAGACCCCACAATGCTGTACAAATATGCATATGCATTGATTCGAAGATCACTAGCGACATCCCCTGGCATAAAGCAGGTGTTACATTCTTGAAGAAAAATTTACAGCTTCATAGAAAAGCAATAGCGTTCACCCATATAGTTTTTTGTTGGCACAAATATCTCATTATTTCAGCAACTTTATTTATTTATACACATTGACAAATGCCTTTATTGCACTGTTTAAACAATATGTGGTTGAAACGATTGCACAGAGGCTGGTGTCCCGTTACCAAGTCACCCTTTACTTACATGTGCACAGTACACCGGCTGTGGCCAGCCAGCTCAGAATCAGTCCCTAAAGTAAGGAGATTGTGAATCCCCCTTTTTATTATTTATTCATTCTTCTTTTCAAAAAAAAAAAAAATAGGAGGCTCACCCAGCCAAAAAGAGAGCAGAGTCAACAGTACAGTCCAACAGGTAGAGCTTCCTCCTCCACAGTACAATGATTCCAAGCTGGCTGGCCATAGCCAGTCTCTGAAGGGAGGAGATTCTGAATCTCCTGTTTATATATGGCAGCCAGGGTTCCCTGATTGACCCAGGTTAACAACCCCAATCAAGGATTTCATGGTCAACAGGATCCACCTGGTTCCAATCACTACAGTCAGACTACATAAACTAAGGAAAAATTATACGGTAATTTTTGGCAAACTTGAGTGGTTTAGAAACTTGATTTTCCATGCACTCTCACTGCTATTCACGCAGTGATTTAAGCAACGATTACCAACTAAATGCATCCATTAGGCCTAAAGTATGAAAACATTACAAATAATAGCAGGCAAACCATATATCACTGAATTTGCTCAACCGTTCAATTAGATCACGAATAATTGTTTTTAAATCTCAACTCTACTCATTCACATAATCCCAATATCCCAAAGTTCAGTCCATATTTAAAAATCTCTCTCTCGAACATAATCAAAATAAACATTCACAGCCCTTTGTGGCAGACAATTCTAAAGATTCTCAATCCTCCAAATGAAAATACTGCTCATCTCAGTCTAAAGTCCCTGATCCCAATCATGGGGTACTTCTGGACTCTACAGGGGAAAATTCACTTGATCCCAACGGGTCCGTTAATCATGTTATATATTTCAATGAGATCACCTCTCCTAGCCAACTCTTTTTTCAAAGGACAATCCTGGAGTCAATTTAATTAAATTTTGTTGCACCTATTCCAGGGTGAATAGATTCTGAGACTGACCATAGCTGTGCTCAGCATTTCAAAAGGCCTGGCAGAAGAAAACGGTGGTGGGTTAGCGGTGTTGTTATGGCATGAATAAGTATGACAGCAAACAGCATCTTGAATCGGAAGACGTAGAATCCATGTGTAGGAGTAAGAAATAAAAAGAGAAAGATTACACTGGTAGGTCCTCTAACAGTAGCTATATGGTGAGACAGAGAATAGATCAGGAGATAATGAGGGCATGCAACAAAGTCAGTGCGTTATTCATGAATGCATTTAATCTTCATGTAAATTAAGTTAGGCAGATTGGTAGAAGAAGCAATAAGGATAAATTCATACAGTGCATTTGAGACAGTTTTCTAGAACAATAATGTTGCAGATCCAACCAGGGATGAGGCTATTTTGGATCTGGTGATTTGTAATGAGGCAGGTTTAATAAATTATATCAAAGTAAAAACAATTCCCAGGGAAACAGTGGCCATAACATGGTAGAATTTAGCATTCAGTTGGAGGGAAGGAACTCAGGTTGGAAACAATTGTTCTAAGCTTAAAAAGGGCAATTACAAAGGAATGAGGGCAGAGCTGGCTGGTGGGAACTAGGAAACAGGTTTAGCAACAAAGACAGTTGATACAATATTTAAGAAAATAATGGCGCACAGCAAAGACTAATTCCAGTGAGGAAGAAAGATTCTAAAAAGGGGACAAACCAACCATAAACAAAGTTAAGAATAGCATCAAATAGAGAAAAAAAACAATGCGGCAAAGATTAGTGCAAACAAGAACGTTTGGAAAGTTATAAAACCAACAAAAGGTGACCAAAAATATTAAAGTATGGAGAAAATGAACTTTGAGGGTAAACGTATAAGTAACATCAAGACAACATCAGGAGCTCCTTTAAATATATGCAAAGGAAGAAAGAAATTAAAGTGAACATGGGCATGTTAGAGAAGGAAGCTGAAAAAATAATAATGGGGAACCGGGAAATGGCAGACAAGTTTAATACATTCACAGTAGGAGACACTAAAGCATTCCAAAATTTATTTAATAATCAGGGGGCAAATGCATGATCGTTGTTATATTTACTTCCCATCACTAGAAAAAAAAGCACTGGGGAAATTAATGATGCTAAAGACCAATAGGTCCACTGGACCTGACAGAATGCATTCTAGGATATTAAAGTAAGATAAGTGAATAGAGATAGTGAATAACTGGTAGTTAACTTCAAAGACTCCTTAGATTCTGAAAAAATCCCAGAGGATTGGAAAACTATCAATGTAACACCTTTATTTATAAAGGGAAGGACTCAAGAAAAAGCAGGTAATTGTAGGCTAGTTAGCTTAGTGTTGGTTATTGGGAAAACATTGGTGTCTATTATAGAGGATGTAACAGCAGAATACAGAATGTGGTTACACAGAGTCAGCATAACTTCATGAAGGGTAAATCATGCCTGACAAATTTATTAAAATTCTTTGAGGTAAAAAGTAGGATAGATAAAATGGAAGCATCGGATGGACATATTTGGATTTTAAGAAGGCATTTCATATAGTACCACACATTAGGCTATTTAGTAAGATAAGAACCAATCGTGTTGGCATCGTATATGCATAGTATATTAGCATGGGTAGAGAATTGGCAGCAGAGATTTGGGATAAAGGGAACATTTTGAAGATGGCAATCTGTGCCACAGGGATCAGTTCTGGGGCACAATTGTTTACAATACATAATAATAACTTGGATGAGGAAAGTGACTGTACTATAGGTGCGAATGTAAGTGGCAAGAATCACACAGAGTCTGCAGAGGGATACACTCAGGTTAAGTCAGGGGGCAAAGACATTGCAGATGGAATATAAAATGAAAAAAAAAAAAGAGAGAGGTTATGAAGTTTGGCAGGAAGAATAGAGGAGGTGAATTATTTAAATGGAGAAAGATTTCAGAAAGCCGTAGAGCAGAGTGATTTTGGAGTCACCATCCATGTATCACAAATAGCTAGCAAAGTTTAGTAGATAAAAGGGAAGGCAAATGGAATGTTGGTATTTATTTCAAAGGGAATGGAGTATAAAAGGTAGGGAGGTCTTACTATAATTACTCTAAGGCACTAGTCAGATCACAGCTGGAATACTATGAACAGTTTTGGTCCTCTTGTCGAAGGAAAAATAGTCATTTTAGGCAATCCAGATAAGGTTCACTAGGCTGATACCAATTACGTCTTCTGAGGAGAAGTTGACTTTATTCATTGCAATACAGAAGACAATCTTGTTGAAACATAAAAGATTCTTAGCAGACTTGACAGGGTAGTTGTAGAAAGGTCAATTACCCTTGTGGGAGAATCTAAGACCAGAGGGCATAATCTCAGAATAAGGGTTATACATTTAAAAACAGAGATGAAGAGAAATTTGATCTCTCAGTTGGTCATGAATCTGTGGATTTCTTTAGCTCAGAGGGCTATCAAGACTGGGTCACTAAGTATATTCAAGGCTGAGACAGAAGGATTTTTAAACAGTAAAGGAATCAAGGGTTATGGGAAGAAAGTGGAGTTGAGGATTATCAGATCAGCCATGATCTCATGGAATGGAGGAGAAGACTCGAAGGGCTGAATGACTTACTTCTGCTCCTGCATCTTATGTTCCTCTTGTGCGGTCTCAGTAAAGCCGTATATAACTGCAGCCTAACATTCTTATTCTTGTATTTCAACTTCCTTAAGATTAAAAGGTTAATATCTGCCTTTCCAACTCCTTGCTATGCCTTAATGTTAACTTTCAAAGGTACCCAAAGCAGTCTACATTCTAACATTTACTTGTATTTCACCCTTATGCTCCATCAGTCACCTTCGTGCCCTCACTTAATTGGTACAGATTCTTTTTAGCTTCTTTTCATGCTGTTGTCTGCTTACTTTCCCAACTAGCTTTGTATTGTCTGCCAATATATGACCCTAATATTTCTGCTTCCTGTCTGTTAACCAATCCTCAATCCAAAGACATTAAGATGAAACAGTAATGTGCCTGCTTGAAGCTCAATTGCATGCATACTAAGTGAGGATAAAGTAAGATTTGACTATGATGCTGCCCAGAACTACGTGTGCCAAGCTTCATAGTCGATGTTCAAACATGGATGAGGACTATTTTGGGTAAAGTAGTTGCGAGCACTCATCAGCATATGGCCAGTTAATGAGTGAGAAATTACTTTGGATAAAAAATATTTTTGCAATGGAAATAAGTTGATGTTGTTGGATGTTTATTCTTCTCAAGTTATTAACTATTTTGCCATGGACAACTTAGTGGACACCAGCAGCCTTCTATGCGCAGACCTTATATAATCAGGTTAGCCAGCCTTTTTCCACTGTTTGTCATATTTGATGCTTCTCCACCTACTCACCAGATAGATATAAGCCTTATCCTGAAATATGTACTGTAATAATGGCAGCCAGGGACTGGTGCTGCGTGACAGGATACTGCATTCCTCCTCAAAAAACACCACCTGTCAACCAAGAAAAAATATCTAAGAGTGGGATGGGTAAAGCTTGGAAAGAGAAACAAAGCTGAGTCAATTCTAAACCATAACACTGATGTGTTATTGAAACCACACAATGATACAATAAAATCAGTACTTTACATATGGCATATATAATGCACCAAGTAACTTTCAGAGTACATAATTTAGTTTGTTCTCTTTCAAAAACTTGCTTAAGCTTCAATTCCTCCTTTCCCCATTTTTACTTTTGACCTTTTCATGTAAGAAACCTCTTGGGACTGATATGGAAGCTATTCCACTTCAGAATCCTATGATCTTTAAATAATCATGAAGAAGCCAGTGTCAAAGATCATTTTATATTTCTCAGCATTATACTCCATCAGCCACCTTCTTGCCCTCTCACTTAATTGTTTCATATTATTTTCAACTTCTTTTCATGCTGCTGACTGCATACTTTCCCAAAAAGCTAGTGTAACAATCCATTCACTGTTCAGTGATATGAAATTTCAATGTCCCTCAATACCAGGACTGAGCGGATTCTTCACATCGACCCAAACACCACCCTGTGAAGCTTGGGAATATTTCCCATTCTGCTTGGCCAACAAACATATCACCCCAGCAATTAGTAAATGCCACCATCAGCATTACATTTCATCTGTTTTAGAGGCTCCCCTCTGCCTTGGTGCTCAAAGGGAATCTTCAGCCGAGGTAGTGGGGAAAAGGAGGGCAAGAATATGTTCCTACTTCATGCTGGCCAGGTTTAATTCCATGAAGAAGGATTGACAGGTAAGGTCCAATACCAACCAGGAAGAACAATTTTGAACATAGACCAATAAGCCAGTTAATTCTGTGGCATTTTGGTTTAAAATCATAACAATAATGAACTACAGATGCATTGCAGGGCAATTGCTCCAAGCATGGGAAACCTTGAGTGTGCATGCACTCAATAAAGCCCTGTATCCATAGAGACAGCATCATATGACAACCATTTGCTTAGTGCAATCAGTAGATATTTGTTAATATCTACAACAGACATTTCGTCCATCATAAAAGGTAAACTCCTAGTTAAAAAATACTAATGAAAGTGCACTTTCATGTTAGCTCTCCTCTTATCTTTGGTACAGTATTGAATATCTCCACTACAATAAAGATTCAAAAAAATAACTCCTTCACAATTATACAAATTTATAATCAATATGGACAACTAAATATTGAAAAAAATTTGCGTTTGAGAGTCGAGAGTCTAATGCTGGGACACATTGTTGCACAGTCTGGCACCAAAAATGGAAGTTTTATACAGAAGCAGCTTGGGAAGGAGGAGAAAAATAAGGATTAATTTGGAGACCATGATTATGACGGAGTATTCTGCCCTGCATCTGACCAGTGATGCAGCTACCAGAAACAGTGTGTTTCTAAGCTAGAACATGGTCCATTCCACAGCAAATAAATCTCTCATGGATAATTTGGATTAAACAAAAAAATTGGGCAAGGATACCAATAAAGTGAGCTTTGATAATCGTGCTGTAAACAATAGAGTAGGCCAGGAATATGAACTAACCAACTCTCTTCACAGAGAGTTGGGATCATGTACACTGATTGGAATACCTTAAAGGAGCATTGCATGAAACCTTGAAACAACTTCAGCGTTAAATTTAAAATTTCCTTGAACAAAGCAGAGATTTTGACTTTTTTCAATAATCAATCAAGCATGATTACAACTGAACAAAATTGAACAAAACTAAACATTCAGCCAACCTCTAAGACCCACAGTGGCCATCTCTTACAAAACGTTACTAAGACACCCCTAAGTCTACACGACAGATATTGTCTTACGTTATCCTGTCCGACCAGCGCTTGCTTATTCATCACTTTCATCGCATAAACGTTGTTGGTGGCTTTCTCGCGTACAACCTGCACTTCTGCAAAGACACCACGACCAATCACACTTTGCACTTCGAAATCATCAGCACAAGGCTGCAACTCCCGCATTTCGGTCAGGATATCTCTGTCTGTGGACAGAAAAGACACTTTGAATCAATGCAAAACATCACGCATATCTAATCTAATACAAAATTGGTACTTAAAATGTTACCTGGGCTGAGCATCGTTAAATTGCTTGTTATTATACTATCTGCATGATTCACTGAGCTGCAGCAGTCCATATAGGGCAAACAAGCGTTCAGAATTTTAGCACTGATAAAGGATGGTTCTGCTCTGAAACAGGGGGGATACGACAGAGGAAGATCTCTCTTCCTCTTGCTCGAACACACTGTCTCTTGCTGCTGGATCACTTGCCTGTGTGGGTGAGTGAGAGAGAGAACACCCACTCACTTAGGTTCCAGCACATTCTATTTGATCTCTCATTGGTTCCACTGCATCCTCATGTCTTGCTTAAAGACAGCAGACTCCAGTGACCTTCTGGCCCAATACCAACCAACATAACTAAGCTTTAAATTGTTTATGTTTACTGTTAATTTGTGCTCAAATTATACCTTAATGTTCATCAATATTAGTCAAAGAATTCATCATGCAAGGAAGATAGGAACAGAATAACAGAATTGAGATGTTGTACACACAGCACAGCCTGAAGGGGCTGGGGCAATTTTCTCCATGACAGGATACACAGAGGAGAAACCTGAGAGAGGTTAAAGATTAAGTGAGAGTTTAATTAGATAAACAGAAAAATTATACTTCAGGACTTCAAAACTGAAGTCATAAATACAAGACAGACACGAATAAATCCAATCGGAAATTCAGGAAAATGTATTTACCCAGAAGGATATAAATGTAGAAATACAAGCAAAGTTGAGGAGACTTGCATAGATCCATTAAAACATGCAGCTAGGTAGGAATGCAAAGGAGAAAAGAACAGAGGGAAATGCTTATGGTTTAAATTATTGTTACTTGTTCAGGGGCTGTGGGCTTTATTGACTGGGCTAGCATTTATTGTCCATTCCTGGTTTCCCTTGAGAAGTCATTGGTGAGGTGCCTTCTTGAACTTTTGGAGTCTACTTGGTGAAGGTAGACACACAATGCCATAATGGAAAGAGCCCCAGAATGTTGACCAAGTGACCTGCGGGAATGCCAATATATTTCCAAGTCTGAATGTTGAGCGGAGAAGAACTTGCAGGTGATGATGTTCTCATGTATCTACTGCCTTTGTCCTATCAAATGGTTGTGGTCGTGGATTTGGAAGGTACTAAGCAGCCTTGGTGAATTTCTGCAATGCGTCTTGCAAATGGTACAAACTGCTGCCGCTGTGCTTCAGTGGAAGAGGGAATGAATGTGGAGATTGTGCTAATCAACCTGCCTGCTCTGCACTGGATAGCGTCAGGCTTCTCTGTATGGTTGGAGCTGCATTCATCCAGGCAAGTGGGGGATATTCCATCACTCTCATGACTTCTCGAAAAGCCTGTTGATTATCCACAAGGGAAATGTAGTGAGTTACTCATTGCAGGATTGCTAGCCTCTGAACTGTTCTTGCAATTATAGTAATATATGGCTAGTCCTGTTCAGTTTCTAGTCAATGGTAACCCTCAGATGTCAATTCAGCGGGATTCAGTGATTGTAATGCAAAGGCCAATGGTTAGATTAAAATGGGATTGAACACTATGCCATCATCAGCAAACTTCCCTATGGTTTTAATTCCTTTTGGCAGGTCAAATACAAGAGGGAAGAATACAGTAAAAGGCAGGATCCTTAGGAGATTTGATATACAGAAGGATCTGGGGTCCAAATTCATAGTTCCCTGAAAATGGATAAGGTGGTAAATAAAGCATACAGCGTCCTTGCCTTTGTCAGCTAGTGCATTCAGCATAAAAGTTGGCAAGTCATATTGCAGCTGTATAAAACTTTAGTCAGGCCACATTTGGATATTATGTGCTGTTCTGGTTGCCACACTACAGAAAAAGCCATGGAAGCTTTGGAGAGGGTGCAAAAGACGTTTACTAGGATGTTGCCTGGATTGGAGTGTATTAGCTATAAAGAGAGGTTGGACAAACTCAGATTGTTTTCACTAGAATATCAGAAACAGAGAGGGGACCTGACAGAAGTACATAAAATTATGAGATACATGGATAGGGTTCATTGTCAGAGTGTTTTTTTCTCAGATGGAAATGTCAAATATTAGGGGCCATAGGTTTAAGGTGAAAGGGGGAAAGTTTAAAAGGAGATGTGCAAGGCAAGTTTTTTTAAAGAAAGCACAGAGGGTGCAGGTGTCTGGAACATGCATCCAGGGAAGGTGGTAGACACAGATACAATAGCAATGTTTAAAAGGCATTTGGACAGATACATGAACAGGCAGGAAATAGAGCGATACAGATGATATGCAGGCAGATGGGATTAGTTTAGAATGGCATCGTGATCAGCAGAGACATGGTGACCCTAGGGGCTTGTTCCTGCTGTATTGGTCTATGTTCTGATCTTATGATGGAGAGAAGGTCATTGATGTAGTAGCTGAAGATGGCTGGGTCCAGGACACTACCCTGAGGAACTCATGCAGAGATGTCCTATAGCTGAGATGATTGACCTCCAACATCACAACTATTTTTATTTACGCTAGGTATGACTCCAGCCAGCAGAGAGTTTTAGCCCAATTCCCGCTAACTCCAACTGTGCTAGAGCTTTTTAGTGCCACTCTCAGTCAACTGCAGCCTTGATATCAAGGGCAGTCACTTTCACCTCACCTCTCAAATTCAGCTGTTTTGTCCATGTTTGAAACAAAGCTGTAATGAAGTCAGGAGCTGAATGGCCCTAGTGGAACCTCAACTGGACATCAATAAACATGCTATTCTTAAGCAAGTGCTCCTTTATTGCAATGTTGATAACTTCCATCAATTTAACAAAGATCAAGAGCAGCCTGGTAATAGGCCAGGCTGAATTTTACTGCTTTGTCTGTATAGGACATACCCAGGCAACTTTCCACATGCTCAGACAGATGGCAGTGTACTGAAACAGTTTGGCTAGAGGCACAGCAAGTCCTGGAACACATATCTTCAGTACTATTGCAGAAATGTTGTCAGGCTCACAGCCTATGCAGTATCTAGTGCCTCTAGCCATTTCCTGATATCATGTGGAGTGAATCAAATTGGCAATGTTAAATTAAGAGAGGAGCAAGAGGAGGCTCATGCAGAACATAAACAAACAATTGACTAGATGGGCCAAATGGCCTTCCTTATACAGTATACTCTATATAACTTGATGTGTACAACAATGCAAAAAAAAAAAAGCAGAAAGAGTCTAATTTCAAAAATATCAGGGTGGGGGGGTGGGTGCAGTTTGAAGAATGGTGGAGACTTTGTTTTAGCTTTAGTAAGGAGCAGTGTAGTCTATTACAATTTGCCATTAACCAGCTTCCCTAATTTGTCCCTTGCAGTCATCTTTTTAATGGCATTGAACTGAAAATATATAGCTTGGAGAACAAACATGTGATTATCTTCCCTTCCTCATACAATACAGATATGTCACGTACAGTATACCATATCTCAAATCAAAGGTATTGGATAAGGCTGAAGAAAGCAGGAACTGATAAGAGGCCTAACAGGCTGCTTTGTGAATGGAATTATGCCGAGTCAGTCAGATCTGCTAAAAGTTAAAAAAGTGCAGGAAATCAGGAACTGCTGTCTGTACCAGATAAGACATGCATTTGGACAAAATATTCAGGATTGGTCATGTGCATGCATAATTTCAAATAAGGCACACATTTGGCACAGAAACTTGTGTATAAAGAGCCTGAAGAAATCCATTTGTTCAACAACACTTCCAAGATTAACGTTGTGCAGGAAGTACCTTATGTCAGAAGGCGTGGTGAAGACACTGCATAGCATTTCAGCTCGACCAGCTGTGAACCTTCATGGGTAATAACTTTTGGATTTAGTTACAGAAATCAGGATAGTGAAAGACAGTGATTGAGATATCTCTAGTGGTTAAAAGAGTGTTATTTGTTTAAGTACATAAATAAGTGAGTTGTAGTTTTATAGAGCTAAGTGTGTCCACTGTATCTTCATCTATGTATACATTGTTATCTCTCAGAGACGGGCAACAATGGTCAGTGAGTTTTCTCTGTTCCACATTAACCCAAATGCACCTTAATTAAGGCAGCTTCAAGTGGTCCATTAATGTAGATATCTCTCTCTACAAAGCAATTAATTACAGAGTAATTATTAGTACAAGTTTCCTTTAACACAATAAAAAAAAATCAGATATTCTAAAGAATCATCATAACTCAGCTCCTATTTGTTGTAAAAACCCGAAAGAACTGTGGATGCTGAGGAACCAGTTCTGAGGAAGGGTCACAGGACCCGAAACGTTAACTCTATTTTTCCTTCAAAGATGCTGCCAGACCTGCTGAGCTTTTCCAGCAACTTTGTTTTTGTTCCTATTTGGCCAAAAAACATGATGAAATGCACTTTCCATTTATTCTAAAGCATCTGAAGCATCAATATAGGAAAACAGAGGAAGGAGTTTGAGAGACAGCAGTACACAAATGCATAAGTAACCACTTACTATAGATCAACCATCAGCCCTGATACACCACACAAAAAGAAACATGAATCTTTCAGACCAATTACAACCTTATGGTGAAATACTCACACTTTTTCACAAAGTTGGCAACGTGTTTAACCTTTAACAGTTCAGGGTTATTACATTCATTAAACAGGACAAAAATTGCATCCAGAAGTCCTTCTCTGGTCAATAAGCAGCAAGATTGCTGATGCATTCGACCTGGAAATGAAGTCTTTCCCTGTTGACAAATTGAAATGAAATTTAGTGAATCCCCAACAGATTACCTACGCTATACGGGTTGTAAAACAAGGTTATCACTTATGTAGCATCTGCAATTGGTAAAATGTCCCAATATTCACAAGATAATTGTCAAACGACATCGGACATAATACACATAAGAAAATGAACCAAGTAAGTTGCTAGAGAATGTAGTTTGTACTGTGGTCCAAAGAATTCAGTCCTTCCAATATTTAGTTGTAGGAAAATTCTGTTCAGGATTAGGAGACAGGCAATAATAGGCCCTTAGGGGACTCCAAAGCAACATCTGGACAGAGAAAAGACAAGCCATTTTGAGTGATGCTATGGCTATAGATTCAAAGTGATTGGCCTCACATTTGTTTATATGAAATCCATCTCCCACAGTTTAGCCCATTCATTTAATCTAATAATACCTTCGCAATTTAATATTTCCATTTACCTGTCATTGAGTCAACAACAAATGGTTGAAACCCAACAAGGAACCTTTTGGAGCACTGTTAGTCACAACCTGCCAACTAGAATACCTAGAGTTACAGGTCATTTCTTAGCTTAGATTGGGTAACCAACAGAAAGCAGATAGTCAGAATAAACGGCTGTTTTTTCTGATTGGCAAGATGTGACTAGTGGGGTGCCACAGAGTTTTAGCCCTTAGATCTCAACTGTTTCCAGTGTTTTGGATGCAGGGATGAAAGGTACTATAGACAAATTTGTAGATGACACAAAAATACGTGGGACAGTAAGCTGTAATACAGAAATAACAAATTTCAGAGTGCTTTGGCATAGAAGGTTCTGGGTGTCCTTCCGCATGAATCACTGAAAACTAGTGTGTGGGTACAGCAGTCAGAATTTTGACATTTATTGCTAAAGGAAGAGAACATTAAAGTAGAGAAGTGTTGTTGTAACTGTACAAAGTATCAGTGAGACCACGCCTGGTGTATTGCGTAGTTTTGGTCTCCTTACACGAGGAAGGATGTAATTGCACAGAAGGCAGTTCAAAGAAGATTCACCAGATTGATTCAGAGGTGAGAGGTTTGGCTTGTGAAGACAGACTGAGCAGTTCCAGCTTATAATTGCTAGAATTTTTGACGAATGAGAGGAGATCTAATTGAGATATAAAAGACACTAAAGGACATTGACAACAGTGATGTAGAGCAAATGTTTCCTCTTGAGGGGCAATCTAGAAGGAGAGGTCATAGTTTTAAGATAGCATATTTAAAACAGATGAGAAGAAATTACTTCCCTCAAAATAGTCTGAATCTGTGGAATTCACTACCCCAGAGTGTGGTGGATACCAGTACACGGATTAAATTTAAGAAGGAGATAGATGGATTTTTAATTAGTAACAGGTTGAAGGTTAGGGGCAGCGGGCAGGAAAGTGGAGTTGAGGCCATGATGAGATCAGTCATGATCATATCGAATGACAATGCAAGCTCAAAAGAGGTGAATTGCCTACTCCTGTTCTTAGTTCTCATGCCCAAATTGTTGCTCCGTGTCTGCTATTGCTCAGTTCATTTCCTAACCAGGTGAGTAACTTCTCTTCAATTCCACAAGCATAAAATTTACCAATCAGTTCTTATGAGGGACTTTACCAAATGCCTTCTAGGAGTCAACATTCCCATTGGAGATGTTGAAAACATTTTTTTTGAAAAAGTACTCTTTTAAAATCTCTTTCCTCTTAATCTCTTTTTGTTTAAACCTCCCTTCACTTTCTCTACATGCGTAGATATTGAATGAAAAATATTCTAACTTTCACATCCCAGTAGACATTCTCACATTTCAGTATTGCGCCTTATCCATGCATTTCTAATTACTTCAAATACAGTGCAAAAGTCCACAGAAAATTGTGGACAAATGCCATTTATACACCTTAACGATTAAATCTGTGCCAAATAGTTTAGCATAAAGTTTCAAACGGAGATGAAAAGAACAAAATAACCTTATATAGAGTGCCTTACATAACTTATGAAATGGCAGGCATATCAAAATGATTTATTCAATTAAACATAGATTTTATCTCCCTAATCCAGCCCTCTCCAGTCCAGGAGTTCTGTGGTGCAGCACCCACAGTACTTCCAGTTTTCAAAAAAATCCATGGTGCTTCCAGTTTTCCAAATAAGACGCATTTAGCTGCTGTAAAGGCAGTTTAAAGCACAGCAAGCAGAGCAGGATTTGGTGGATGTTGACAAAGATGCACTAGTTGTCAATCAACTGACTGAAGAGATTGTGCAAATGGCATTGCATGGTGAAAGTAAAAAAAGAGGAAACTAGTGACAGTGAAGATGAAATCTTTTACATCTACCTTGGAGGAGAACAGTGAACATCAGCATCTCTGACACTGCAGACACTACTCAGATGGTAATCAGCAGGGGATTTCCTTGACCATGTTTGATCCCATGCTATGAGACCACATGGGTCACAGAGTCAACATTGATTTCTCCTAAGGTAAACCCTCACAACTCTATGCTATTTTGCCACTAACTGGCATGGATGCAATTCCAGAATGATGATGAAGGAGTTGGAGACATTGGTTGCACACAATAATTCAGTAAGTTCAGGTGATTGCTCAACAAGTCCATGGGGCAACTGCTTGTAAGGAAAGCAGATATGCTAAGTCATTGACATTGACAGTACCAGGTCAATAGTTCCGACATTTTGTCTTATTCAACATTCAATGATTTGGATCCAACTGAGTGGCTTACTAGCCATTTCAGAGGGCTGTCAAGACACTTTGTATTGGGTCAGGAATCACATATAGGTCATGCCAGAAAAGGGGAGCAGATTTCCTTCCCTATTAGGACACCAGTGGGTTGGATAGAGTTTTCTTGACCATCCAATGTATTAATATTTAAGGTCACCATTGCCAGGACTAGCTTTTAATTTCCTAGATTTTTATTAACATTAAATTGCCTTAGTGAGGTTTGAATACAAGTTCCTATAGCATTAGTCTAAACCTCAGAATCACCTCTTCAGTTACACTACCACTAAACCATTTTCCAATGTAGGGGAACTCTCTGACAAAGTCTGCACTATTCAATGCCTTGAGCTACAGAAGTTTAACGTTCACTCAAGCCACATGATATAGAGGCCCATACATAAGATGAATCCATTGTCGATTGTCGGAAAAACCCATCTGGTTCACTCACGTCCTTTAGGGAAGGAAACTGCCATCCTTACCTGGTCTGGCCTACATGTGACTCCAGACCCACAGCAATGTGGCTGACTCGTAACTGCCCTCTGGGCAATTAGGGATGGGCAATAAATGCTGCCTAGCGAGCAATGCCCTCAGCCCGTGAATGAATAAAAGAAAATAAAGAAAGATGTTCAATATATAAGAGAACAAAGGCAGTGTTTCCCTTATATCCAGGCATTGGTCCTCATAAAAGGCAAAGAAAGGAAAACATTTCATTGCCAGGATAAGCATTTCAACTTCAAACAAATTCAGGAAAAACAGAGTGCATTTTGCATCACTATCACTGGAAATCAAAAAATTTTAAAACATACAATGACAGTAATGCCGTCTCACAATAAAGTAACTTAGAGAAGAGCTACATCAACAAATGCCACACAAAGCTAAGGAGTATGTTCAATATTTAAGTAATGTAAACATGTATTTTTATCTACTTTAAAAATAAGGAAGGTTTCTAAAATTTGTATTAAGAAACTCCAATTACCATCCCCTAAAACTTACCTATTGTAGGTGAGCACCATAAATTAATTTAGAAGTAAGGAAAAAATGAGAGGATCTGTCCAATATCTGACACTTAGTCTGCAGTTCAACATTAATAGGGTGAAAAAATGCCTGCAACTTTTATGTGGTACCTGATAGTATTAGTGCCAGAATACCTGGAACGTTTTCTTCAATAAGTGCTCAATACTTCAACTTTCATCTGATATCACAACTTGTCTGGCCATTTTTTTCTGCACTAAGATATTATTTTCATGTAAATTTTAAATCCCTGTTTTCACTCTAATATTGCTGGTAACTTTGTAAATTCTAGCTACCTCAAGAACCTCACTAGTCTTTTGACACAAAGCCCCTGATAGTACAGAACATTAAATTGCCTTGACTTCCACACCACCCATAAATTCACAGTGGTGTCACTGGGGTGATTAGTGTTCATGCAACAAACAAATCACTTACACCTGAGAGCAGACAGTTACAGAAATTGCATTATTTGACTCAAGATAACATCCAACCAGGTCAGTATAGTTTTGAGGTATCAAGTAGTCACAAAAAAAAACACATAAATGCAAGTCTTCTTTTAAAACCAATGTTAATCTCTTATCCACAACAATTAATATTTGTACACCAATCTTCCTGCATCTTACATCTGACTGAGATGATTAACTGCTTTCAATCTGTCTTGGCAACCTCTCGGTCTTCAGCATCAAAACATGGACTCACCAACCTGAAAAAATAAGTTCATTCTGGAACAGCGATTGGTGATTGGTTCACCTGGTCCAATGTCCATAAGGCAACGGCCGCCATATTTAAACTTCAACATTGCTCTCAGTTTTACTAAAAAGAGAAATGAAAAGATTATTTTCAGAAACAAAAAAATGCAGCTAAAAATATTCCTTTTCCTTCACATATTTTTCCCCTGTAGAAATCAAAGTTCCAATAACGACATTCCATAATAGCAAACTCAAGCACTTCCATGTTTGTTGTATCGTCTATTAAAGATAGTAAAACTAGCTCCAGTTTGCTCTACAGGAGAACTTCTGAGTCAGACACGTTATGAGCTAGATTCGGATTAAAGATTCCACTTTCCCCTTTTAAAATATAAACCCCTCACTTGCAGAATTCTCTCAATGCAAGAAGTATCATCCTCGGTTACGTGCTCAAGTCTATAGAGTGGAAACTGAATCCACTGCTTTCTGGTTCAGATGCACTGAGCCAAGGTTGGCACCAAATGGTGAGAAAGAATGTCCCAATCCAAGGAAAACATTTCTTTCAGCTCTGTAGTTTCCTTTCCAAAAAAACAAAGTCACTTTTCTGCAGAATTCTTTCTAATGTTTTACATAGTTTCCCAGAGTCATCCAAAAAACAAAATACCTATTGAAAAGAGAAAACAAGTCACCTAAATTACATTTAATAAATGCTCTAATTTCAACTCCCCAACGTTGGTTTTTGTTCAGAAAAATTAACAAGTTTACATGCTCCGCTCTCAGTCTTATGCAAAGATGATTAACCATAAGATCAGCATTCAAAATCACACATTCTGCAGGCAAAGACGATCCTGGAATGCATAAGTAACTCTTGGTCAGTTGTACAAGGAGAACAATGTGCATTCATCTTGCACCACTCCGTCTAGAGAGTATGAAAAAAATCAGCCTAAAATCAGCAACCTTTCCATCTTTGTAAGGAGGTTTAATTCTGAGGAGAGTTTGTTGCAAATTAGATAAATGTTTGAAATTGAAACTGACCGGCAAACATGGAAGCTCCTTTTGAAGTGGAAAGCAATAGTAAGATATCTTCAATTAGTTGCCATTGGTCATCTTGCAGTTGAAGCGTTCAGGCATCAGATTGTTCTGTTCCAGGACCATCTGAAAGTACTGCTGATATGGCTTAGCTTTGCTCATTGGAATTCAGTACATGACTTGTTCGATAGACCCTGGATCGGCTGGCGTTGTTCAACCTGACATTCAATTTGGACAAGTTTGATTTTCCTTGAATGATTTTATCACCACAGTGCTGATGAAATTGTGCAACTGCAGCTGCAATGGCATGATCCATAAGTACTAGTGGTGTACCTCAAGGATCTGGTTTGGGGCCACTGCTGTTTGTCATTTTTATAAATGACCTGGATGAGGGCGTAGAAGGATGGATTAGTAAATTTGCAGATGACACCAAAGTCGGTGGAGTTGTGGATAGTGCGGAAGAATGTTGCAGGTTACAGAGGGACATAGATAAGCTGCAGAGCTGGGCTGAGAGGTGGCAAATGGAGTTTAATGCGGAAAAGTGTGAGGTGATTCACTTTGGAAGGAGTAACAAGAATACAGAGTACTGGGCTAATGGTAAGATTCTTGGTAGTGTGGATGAGCAGAAAGATCTCGGTGTCCATGTGCATAGATCACTGAAAGTTGCCACCCAGGTTGATAGCGTTGTTAAGAAGGCGTACAGTATGTTAGGTTTTATTGGTAGAGGGATTGAGTTTCGGAGCCATGAGGTCATGTTGCAGCTGTACAAAACTCTGGTGCGGCCGCACTTGGAGTATTGCGTACAGTTCTGGTCACCGCATTATAGGAAGGATGTGGAAGCATTGGAAAGGGTGCAGAGGAGATTTACCAGGATGTTGCCTGGTATGGAGGGAAGGTCTTATGAGGAAAGGCTGAGGGTTTTGAGGCTGTTTTCGTTAGAGAGAAGAAGGTTAAGAGGTGACTTGATAGAGACATACAAGATGATCAGAGGATTAGATAGGGTGGACAGTGGGAGCATTTTTCCTCGGATGGTGATGGCTAGCACGAGGGGACATAGCTTTAAATTGAGGGGTGATAGATATAGGACAGATGTCAGAGGTAGGTTCTTTACTCAGAGAGTTGTAATTGCGTGGAATGCCCTGCCTGCAAAAATAGTAGACTCGCCCACTTTAAGGGCATTTAAATGGTCATTGGATAAACATATGGATGATAATGGAATAGTTTAGGTTAGATGGGCTTCAGATTGGTTTCACAGGTCGGCGCAACATCGAGGGCCGAAGGGCCTGTACTGCGCTGTAATGTTCTATGTTCTATGTACATGGAGAAAAGCATTGTCTATGGCTAGTTGCAAAGTATGGGAATAACCATGGACAGATCCCCATCATGCTTGCTAACACATGACGATGGTGCTTGCAGTATTGTGAATGGAAGCCAAGAGGAGCCCACCAGGTCCCTTCTTTGCACTATATAGTGTTTAGATTTTCAGCCAGATTCTCCACTATGTTGTTCTAGCACACTTTTGGTTTCCAGAATTGTAGACCAACACTTCTTATTCTTAATAGAATAGCAAATAATAGTCATGTACTTTTCTGTAGTTAGTTATCCAGCAGCCAGTTGCAAAAGCTACTGTTATAATGTATTCTAATTTTTCCCTACAAAGACTTCACACAGTCATCAACATTTTTCCAGGTGCAAAGTTACTGTCTGTCTCATAGGCACACAATATTCAGGTTCTACAAATCTCAATGCATGACAAACTGCGCCCTCAGTGACACTTATTGACAGCGTATCCACAGTGATCATAGTGAATATCAGTTTCGTTTTTTTTGATATATACAACACATTTTCTTGAACTGCCAGAAACAGTTAGTTTCATTTCATTTTTGCCTTCTGTTTCACGTGAACCTTAAAACCTCTGTACAGCTAGTCCACTACCAGAATCACTAGGCTATTACACATTATTGCAAATTCTAACCTTCAAAACAATAGCCCACAAAATAGATTTTCATAGGGGTAGAAAAGCTACATGCTTGTAGAATGATACAAATGGTCAAAAGTCATTCAGCGTCATGCCTATACCAATTCTTTAAAAACACAGCCAATTAGACCTATTCCCTGCAGGGTGTGCAGGATAATGACAACTCACTGCATAAAAAAAAAAAAGAGTTCTCACCTTGTTGTCTCTGGATCTTTTCCCAATTACCCTAAATTTATGTCCTCTGATTACTGTCTATTCTGCCACCAGAAACTCTCCCTTCTCATCTACTGTGTAAAAACCATTTACAATTTTGTAAATTTATTAGAAATGTCTCAACTTTCTATGCTCCAAAAGCAACAATCCTGACTGTTGTCTCTCCACTTAACTGGAGTTTCACATTCCTGGAACCATGCTAGTAATTCTCCCTTGTTCTTTCTCCAAGACCTTCATAGACTTAAAATGTGATTACCAGACTTGACCACAATACTGGCTGAAGCCTAACCACTGTTTTAAAGCAGCTTAGCAAAAATTATTCATTTTTGTACTGTATGCTTTTGTTAAAAAAAAAGGGAGCTCGCATGCTTTTTTAAAAAAAGAACTTATACTTATACAGCACCTTCAGTATAACAGAATGCTTCAAGATGCCTCATGGAAGTATTGCAAAACAAAATATGACAAGAAACATAGGTCAAAAGGCTAAATGCTTGGTCAAACCAGTTGATTTTAATGGACCTCTTAAAAGATTTTTCAACTGGTCCGGTTATCTTCAAAGAGTTATATATTTACCACCGACTCCACGCCCCTTTTAAAATTGTATTGTTTAGTTTGTATTGTCGCTCTTGCTTTATCCAACCAAAATGTTGATTAAATTGCATCTGCCTACATCTTCCTAAAGTCTGGTTTTATTTATTCTTCTACAGGACATGGGTACCACTGGCTAGGTAAGCATTTACTGTCCATCTCCAATTGTCCTTGATAAGGTTGTGATCAGCCATCAACTTGACCCACAGAAAACACACACAGTACCCTGTAAAAGAACCCACTGACAGTGCTGTTTCCATCAAACACACCCAGTGACCAGCACCACCTGGGAGTATACACCCAATGACCAGTACCACCCCAGTACACATACCCGGTGACACCAGCCAATCCAGTACACACAACTGATGAGCACTGCCAAACCCAGCACACTCACGTGGTGATCACGGTCAGACTTTGGCAAGTCTGGACATACCCATCAAGCACACCTGGTGATGACAACCACTCCCATCAAACGCAAACAGCTGTGTCACCAGTTCCTGGTAAAGCCAGCCCTTCCCAGTAGCAGCTCCATGATAGTGGCCCACCTCAGTGACAGCAGCCATGCCTCTGAAATTGCCCAATGACAGCAGCCCTCTCCAGTAAACCTACCCAACGAATGGGGCTCTCCTCCATAAACACACCAGTGAGCATGTCAGATGACAGCAACCACCCCTGGTGAATGTGCTCAATAGAATCGTGTGCCCTATGACAGCAGTCATGGTCAGGGAACACAACCTGCGCTAGGAGCCTTATTTGGTAAACATGCCTAGGCATTCCCAGTCCAGTGGTCATACTCAATCTGAGGAAGGGTCACCGGACCCGAAACGTTAACTGTTTTTTTTCCTTCACAGATGCTGCCAGACCCGCTGAGCTTTTCCAGCAACTTTGTTTTTATGCCCAATCCACACTTCCACTTCCAGCAGCTGCGCCCATTAAATGCCCTGATTCCAGTGAACATGCCAAGCAAATGCACCCCAGTGCCAGGGGCCGTGCCCAGTGAAAGTACCCCAGTGCCAGGGGCCGCCCCAGTAAGCACACCCGGTACCGGACGGTAAGCTGATTACCTGCTGAGGCCCCTCAGGCTGCAGCGGCTCCGATGACTGTGTGACCTCCCAACTGCCCAGCACCGAACTCCCGCCTGAACCTAACGGACTCCCGTTCCTTTTCCTTCAAACTCCGCTCCAAAGCACGTCACCCTCCTCCCATTGGGCAGCAGGCAACATCACGTGGCACATATCGACACGCGGATTGGTCCTAACCGCCAGACGCAGGGAGAGTACTCCTCCAGCTGATTGGGCGGGAGCCGCGTGTCAGTGGTCTCCACGGTAACGGGGACGCAGGTAGCCTGCCTCCGCAGGAGGAGTGTGTGGAACTGGCCTAGGACTCAGAGCACGACCTAACCCGACCTGGCAGCATAGCCTAGCTTCATTAAGAAAGAATGCCAACAGTCATTCCAGTTTCAGTTGAGTAGTATAAGAGTTAAGTTCCTTTTTTTGAATAATGAGATACTTTGTCGTTTACACCCGCAGAAAAATTTACAGACAATCAGTCTCTTTAAACTTGGAATAAAAGCTGGTTGGAGAGAAGCGCGTTAATTCGCAAAAAACCGAAAGAGGGAGACTTTCAAAGTGACAAAACCTGATCCAAGACTTCTCAGAGGGAAAAAAACAAAAATACTTGGAAATGAACGTAATAAAAAACCAAAAAAACTGCGGATGCTGTAAATCAGGAACAGAAACAGAAGTTGCTGGAAAAGCTCCGCAGGTCTGGCAGCATTTGTGAAGAGAAAATCAGAGTTAACATTTCGGGTCCGGTGACCCTTCCTCAGAAGTCTCCTCACAGATGCTGCCAGACCTACTGAGTTTTTCCAGCAACTTCTGTTTCTGTTGAAAATGAACGTATTAGTTATACTCGAGTTCCATTTTGCACTATATAAGACAATTCAGAGCAGTATGTGTCATTCACAAGTTTTACTACATTTTCCTTCCTGACTTGGTAAACTTGGGTTTATTTTTAATCTTGTGATTCCACTGTACTTTTTCCTTTCCCAATAATTTATCAATTCATGGTGATTTGTTCAACTAATAGCTCTCTCCTATTCATTCAGCGATTTAGCCAAATGACACTCTAATTTACATATTGGATGTTCCCACCACTGGATCCTGTCACTGTTCATCCAACCACATCAATCAAAATATGGGGAAGATCAAATATTATGGTTAAGAGTGTAACTTTGACTCCCTCAACCACAATTGACTCTAATTAAGGATATTAAAGTAGAGATGATCAGTAATTTAGCTACTTGCAACTGCAGAACTGGGCCGTGCATGATGAGTCATCCTAGTGCAAAATAACAACTTAATATATTTGGCAATTGCCTTCAATTTTCCTTCAATACAGGAAATGTCATGTGTTCTGCCAGAATACAAATGTAACAGGCTCTGATGAAATGGTTAACCTAGACAATCAGAGATATGGACTTCTTAAAGATTCCTGAAGGAAGAAAAGAATAAAATACACAACAATAGATTGATACACCGAGAATGAGGCCATTCAGCTGTTGTGCCTGCTCTACCTGTTTCATCAGCTATCTAATTAGCCATAGACACCTGCCCATTCCCCATAGAGCTAAAGATACAAAACTGTAGAAAAATTACAACTCAGAACAAAGCCATTCATCCCTATATGCCTGCATAAACTCGTCACCCATTCTAATCCTACTTGCCTGTACCTGGTCCATAGCCTTATAGGTTAGAGCACTTCAAGTGCAGACCTGGGTTCCTTTTAAATGAGCTGAGGGTTTCTACTTAATCACCAAACTGGGCTGCAAATTCCAGACATCACCACCCTCTGGGTGGAAAAGTATTTCCAATGTCCCTGTAATTCTTCTATTAATCACCTTAAATCTGTGGCTGCTGAAAATTGACATCTCTGCTAAGTCAAACAGATATTCTCTGTCCACTCTGTCTAAGCCTTTCATTATTTTGTGCACCTCAATTAAGTCACCCCTTACCCTCCTCCCACTTTTGATTCTAAAATGATTAACACATACAAACAGCAAGGGACTAAAAACTGAACCCTGTGGAATGCCACAGGGAAATGCTTCCATTCACAAAAACTTCCTTCCCCCTCCCCATTTCTGAAGAAGGGTCCCAACCCAAAACATCAACTGTTCTGCTCTTCTGATGCTGCCTGGCCTACTGTGTTCCTCCAGCTCCATACTGTGTTGTCTCTGATTCCAGCACCTGCACTTCTTGCTATCTCTTTCAACTATGACCTTTTGTTTCCTGTCACTGAGCCAATTTTGGATGCAACTGACTACATTCTCTCATAAATATAGGGTTTAATTTTTCTTAACAGCCTGTCATGTGGGACTTTGTCAACTGCCTTCCTAAGTCCGTGCAGACAACATCCACTGTATGACTTAACGGAGCATTTTAACTTAACTTTTAACTCCTGCCTTTTCCCTTCAACTTTGCAAGTTGTTGCAACTTTGCATGGTGGCGCAGTAGTTAGCACTGCTGTCTCACAGGACTGGTGGGGGTGTGGGTCTGGGATACTCTTTGGTGCAGACTTGATGGACTAAATGGCCTCCTTTTGCACTGTATGGATTCTATGATTATTTACCTACTGTAACTTTAATTATTTAAACTTACTCAAACCTTACTCTTGTGTTTTTAATTAAATACTGAAGATTAGCACAAAGTGGAAACATTTTGGCCTTATTCACAAATCAGCTCCTTCTCTTGTGCCTATAAATTATTTCTTTCCATGTTCTAGTTTAAAATGTATGTTTTGCAAAATTACTGGAGTTGAAACACTATCCTGAACAGCAGCTACTCAACAACCAATCAACCCATAACTTTCCTGTGATGTCAGTGTTAGATTTTTTTTCTCTTCTCACGTTAACTAATGACCACTTCCTCTCTGGCCCACACTTTTCGGTGCTGGTCACTGTTCTGGGTCCTCCCCTCTCCCACTCTTTTAGGCACTGGTGACTGTTTCCAGTTCCTCCTCTCTCCCATTCCTTTTTACTCCTGTTATATCTTTGTCCCTTTTCACAATGCTGCTAAATCTAACTATGTTATGATCACTATCACCAAAATGGTCACCACTGCTACTTAATCTATTTGCCTAGCTTCATTTCCCAAGAATAAATCTAGAATTAAACCCTCCCTTGTTGAGCTTGTTATGTGCTAGATAAAAACATTCTCTTGAATGCTGTTCAGTAATTTTGTGCTTACTGCCTTTCACACTGCTTATATCCTAGTTCATGTTTGGTTAGTTCAATTATATAAGCCCATAACTATACTAAGGGGTACAAAGGCTACTCAAACTCTTTTTCTGGAGACAAATTAATTTTCCCTCCAGAGAGTTCAATGAAAGCCAAAGTGTTGGTCAACGGTATAAATGGAGGGTATATCCTGATTCCATTCTACAAAGCCCATTTTGAGAGCGACTCATTGTCTTAACTAGTTGCAGTCAGGGTGATTAAGCAATTACCTGTGGTTGAAGTTGATTTACTTCTGTGGATTGATTTAGCAGGAGTGAAAGTTATAGCTTCATGGAAAGTCCAATTGAGGCTAAAGAGACAGAACAGTTGCAAGAACAGGTTCTTGATATTTTCTATTATGTATAGTGACCAGAGCAATGGCTAAACAATGTCCATCACCAGAGGTCACAGTAATACTGCAAATGGATGTGAGGGCTGCTGAAACTCTATTTATGAATGAAGATAATTCAAAAGGGGTGTTTGGTATGTCTTCATTAATTGAGGCTGAGGAAGCAGATCCAGAGGTCATCAAGCAAGCACAGACTGCTAATACTGAAGTTGAGTCTGAAGAAGTTCCAGAGTGCTATTATATCTGAAAAAGAAGTTTTAATAAGGAAGTAGAGATATCCTCACAGAACTGTGGACAAAGAATGAATTATTGTTCATTAAATAGTAGTACCGCCCTCAAATCATAGGAAGACTTTGCAAGTAGCACATGAAATTTCCATGGCAGGACATGTTGGAATATAGAAAATGCAGGCATCAATAAACAAGTATTTTAAAATCATAGAATTATACAATGTAGAAGAGGCCATTTCCCCAAGGAGTCTGCACTGATGTGTCAAAAACACCTGACCTTCAATCTAATCCCATTTACCAGCAGTTGGCCTATACAATCATCTATGTCATTTATATAAATGACGAATAAAAGGGGACCCAGCACGGATCCCCATGATACGCCACTGGACACTGGGTTCCAGTCACTAAAGCAGCCTTCTGTCATCACCTTCTGTCTCCTACAACCGAGCAACTTTGAATCCACTGCATCAAATTACCCAGGGTCCCATGTACATTTGACTTCTCGATAAGTTTCCTTTGTAGGATCTTGTCAAAGGCTTTGGTGAAATCCATATAAATTACATCAATTGTACTACCCTCACCTACACACCTGGTCACCTCCTCAAAAA